TGGCCTGCTTAGCCTGCCAGGATCCGCCATCGTATTAACGGCCACCCCATGAGCATGTACCCAAATAGGACGTACGCTTAAAGTACAAAGAGTTGAAAAGGTCAAAGGTATTTCGTATGTCATCTTTTCGTTACGGTAAATATGTGATGGAGATGGCAGATTGGTGCTAACTTTCACCGTGGCGGCCTCTGTACAGCTGCAATATAGTAAACCACGGTGACTATCGGTTTTGGCTATGATAAAAACGTATATGGCATGGATACAATGGAATTACGTGGTACCGTCGCGGTGGATATCTTTGAATTTGAATACGTACAATTAGCGCTTGGTCTACGCAGATGCTTAGTGTTGCGTCTCAGCAGTTTGCCTGCGGCGGTAACTGTTGCCGGTAGCGTTTCTTTGCTTCGATTACCCACTGCTGACGCAGTTACGCGTGTCTGAACAGAACAAGTTTTTACATTAGCGCTAGTTGTGTGGAAAAGTTACCACTTTAAAGTATCAATATTAGATCTGAGGAATGTTTACTATTACGGAAAGAAACCTGCCATATGTGTTGATATAATTCATATCTATAATAAAAGCAATTTGTATTAGTTTTTTTCATTTATCTGATAAAGGCTTAACTAGAATATATGGAATGAAGTACTTGACATTCTGAGGAAGGGGTGGTAGCATAAATAATAATAATATATAATCATAATAGCCGTATCGTGAGTGGTAATTCTTCATTGGCCACATAACGGAAAGGAAACAAAAGCATTTGCAATGTGCAGCACGTGCGCCTAATGTCTATATGCATTAACCCGAGTTACCAGCATTTTCAATGACAAATTGGCCTGTAAATGAACTTACATTCTCAGAAGTAAGCGTCCGATATTTTCATGACGTAGTTGGTGGCCTTACACCCTTGCAGTTGTAGGCGGACCTGACAGATAGCCCCAGTCACTGAGGATTCAGTAACTGTCAGGCAGATGTATGTGTGTTCATACATTTCATCCTGGTCACAGGCTAAGGGGCAATCTAAATCGATGCACGTAGCAGGTAGGAGCTTACTTGTAGGACCGGTCCTCACCTGATACATATATCGATTTTATACATGGTGAAAATTTTCCGCCTTATTCCAGTCAGGACAGAGGAATAACAACTGGTCGGCCAATTTGTCGACTCGCATAATGCTCTATTCAGGCGCCATTTGACCTTGGATTAGGTAAATTCACCTATCGAAATAACATATAATCCTAAATATATAGAAGACATAATGAAGCACTTCATTAACCACTGTTAATATAACGTGTAGTAAATAAAACAGCGTGTGCGATCATCAATATGCCAAGTAGACGATACTGATTAGCTATATTGCTTCAATAATTTACTCACTGGCGAGTGCCAGTCTGCTTACGATAGCCGGGCGTCTTACAGGAGAGATGACAGCAGCTGTGGCGTATCGCACGATGAACTTTTGGTCCTTCTACGTGCCGTCGGCTATCGCAGGAGTCTCCTAGATGACTGAATCCAGGACAGTCGTCTTGTTGTCGTACACCCTGATACATTGACGATATGCTACAATCATACTCAAATCGAATCTCTTTTTTCTTGAGCTCTCATACAAGGGGTCATGTATCATACAATCGAGTACGAGTATACAGAAACGGTCGCTTCACTCTGTTAGTTGCTTTATAGCTACATATTTCCACATAAATATCAGCCCGTATGAAACGGTGAGACAGAAGGCGGTAGGTGTATCTGCAGACAGGTCAGGGGACCTTCGGAATGCTGATACGTTTGTAGTTCTCTTCAGAAGACGCTTGCTAAAAGAACCTGCATAGTCATCTCAGACACGGGCCGGCCTTAAGCAATGTAAAGATTTATTAAAAATGAAAACGACTAATGCTAATTAATACAAGCTCATCGGCGTAGCGAAAAGTATTTGCTTGTCGGCAGCCCTTCCTGATCGTGGCAGGTAAATCATCACGGCAATCAGAGGGCACGGAACGCTGCAATGGATTCGGTGCAGTGTTTCGTGCCGGATAACGTGCAGCTGCAGTAGCTTGGCTAGGAGGTTCGAACTATGTTATGCCATTCACTGTGGTTTGATTCTTTCATTGTATGCCCCCGATAAATTCGAGGAAATTCCGCGGGGCACCTATCCTATTAGGTTTATATAGGATAGCTATTTGAATAACCGTATCGAACGGTGCTTCGAAATCGTCAGGCAAAATGACTGCATAGTATAGTTATACGTGAAGCTCGTACTTGCTGCGAACCGATAAAGGCGACAATTATATTGTTCGTGAGGTGTGTCAATAGTAGTCTGTAAATTAAAGCATTGGGCAGCTGATCCGCGAACGGCAACGCCAACCGGAGAAAAGCTTTTTTTTCAGTATGTCACCCTGGTCTCAGCTACATCCATAGGGCTGTTTTTGCCAAATTTTCGACTGATTATCAATTTTCGTTTTTGATCTTCCAGAAGAAGAATATGTATCTGGCGTCAATGCGACCTGATGATGTCACGCGGATGGGTTCTCAATAATGATATCTTGTCTGTGCCTTGATTACTTTGAATTGTACACACTGATACATCATTATTAGCGCATGAAAGAGTATTTATTTTCCCGAATAATATATTACTATACTATCTATATCGGGTTGCTGTGCATGTACATGGTTAAATTTGTTGACCTGAATGATCCTTTTCTGTCGTGAAGAATGAAGAGAGAGTACGGTTAAGCACCTTAGATTTTTCTCTTTCACATCACCAGTGGATCACGGTGCAGAAGTGGTCGTTCTTGTTTTTTGAGATCGTTGTCGTTCGTGCAATTATTTACGTCTCCAACGGCTGTTCGGCAGCGTTTCCATTGCATTTAAAGTAATTTATTAGAAAAAAAAAAAAGCTTCTTCTACAGTGAAGCGCTCAAGGTCTCAGATGCAAGCCCTGCAGGCCGTACACCAAACAAACAGGTTATCGACCTTTCGTCCGTATGCTCAAATACATTCACCGTTCATTAGAGTCCCATTGACCTTCACATGTTCTTTTTTGTTTTAATTGTTTTCAGTATTCAATGATTTCATGAATAGTACCTTTGTATTTATAGAAATAATAAATCGGAGTATAGATATACTCCGATTCGGACTTTAGATATAAAGTCCGAATTTCATATAAAATTTGATCGTATAGACAAAGACAACACAAAAGCAGGTAAAGGGCTTCATGGCGGTATTGCGGTTTCAGCGATAAGGAAAAATAGGAAAAAACTAACATTTGAACAATTTAATATATATATATATATATATATATAGGTTACTGTGCATCAATCTCAACATTATCAGGTATGAACTCGCAGTGGAATCCCTTTACTTCAATCGATTCAGTCAGATATAATCAGGCGATCCTTCGTTGCTTATCAAGCCAAAAAGAAACAAAACTTAATGATACGCCCAATTCTACGTCGAAACTCATACGAAGACATGAACACACGTGGCGTATGCCTCCAAGCCAGGATCAATAAAACGAGAAGATCAATATGGCGTCAGAGTGAGCCAAAGCAACAGAAGGCTTATAATACCGCAGTAGTTTCTGGCTGATTCTTGCCCGGTCGAAGCAATCATTACCAGACTAATGCGGAATAGTGCAGGGCGCGTGAAAAGCTCTAGTGCTTCTGGCAAACGCTCACTTCGTTCGCCTCACTCGAACCTCATTCTAGTTGTTAGATGTCCTATAAAGCGATGAACCTCGAAAGACAAAATTTATTATCAGCATGAGCCGGGCCAAGAAATAAATAAGGATAGTGTGATAGTTGCATGATAATAAGACAAGACAAATATATCTACATATAAATGTTTTTTGCTTCTATGTCCACAGGATATTGTCTACTATATCAGGAAAAAACTGGTAATCGGCCAAGTAAAAGAAGATTGCTTTCTAATTCTATAGCAGGAATCACAGTTATCGGATCGATGAGTCACGAAGTATCTTTTATTATTTTTCACTAACGCCTTTGGATATTTCTACTATGTTAACCAGTCCTCGGAATTATCTGTGCAATATAGCATCAAGAACTTGATTCTATTTAAATGTGAAGTTGGGGTAGGTTTTAATGGATTTATTTAGCTTTTTCTTTGACAAACCAATAGGCCTTGGTTACTATTTCTCTCTGCTTAAATTTGAACCAGCGGTAGCTACATGTTTATGGTTAGCATGACCACGTACTTAGAGAACCACATCTTAGATCCCTCAACGACACCGCCCCATAACTAAAAATTTCGAAGTTCTTAAATGATTTCGGACTCAGATATCGGGGTGCGCATTATTAACAGATCGCACGCAGGATTCTAGCTAGTATAAACAATTAGACAACAGGAAAAGAATGCAAGTGTAGGCCTAATATTCGAACCAGCTATTAAGATAGTCCTTAGTCAGGAGGCCATGTAGGTGAAGAGGCATAAAAATAAGTCATATCTAGCAATGTAACATTAATAGATAAATGAACGGTTTTTAGTTTGATTTTGGTGAGAAAGTATCATGACTTAAACTGACCATGGGCTAAGTTGTGCAATTGACAAACCGGGAAAAATGCATGTAGGTACAACGGCGCCTTGTCCGCTATTATTTTACTTTACGGTGGTAGTTAAATGCCATTAAATTATACATACTGGTATTAACTGGAGCACCCGATCCACCTTGATAACGGGTATCGATCTAAGTGGGAGCGCTTGAAATACATTAGACATTTTTCGAGATAGGTTTACGCAACGAATCTTTCTGTAATTGCATCACATTTTCCCCAACGTTATTGCGACCTATTAACCGCTCGCAGGCACCTTAAAAGGTTACATTTTTAAAATGCGATCAAATATATGCATGCTAGGCGGAAACCTACTTGCATGACGGTATTTTTATTTTTAAAATTTTGTTTAGCATTCAAAGGGCGCCACGGTCCTGATCGTGTCGATGCGCGTCGACTTATTCATCAGATCATGTGTTTTGGTGTTTGTTTTTACAACGATGCCGATGGAACTTTACACGTTTTGGCACCAATATCCCTGGCAGCTGGGAAATACAATGTGCGATCTACGTGCTTTGGTGACTGAGGCAACAGCGTACGCCTCCATCCTTACGATAGTCACTTTCAGTTTAGAAAGGTTTGTACTTCGATTAGTCTGAACAGTATTTTCTCTATTAGAAATAAAGGCACTCATCGCGTGATTCAGCGAACGCTGTATCAACCACAGGGGCTTCTTCAAGGTCAGATATGCCCGGTTTATACGCCTTTTACTTGTGGGGTCCATACACAAAAACTATACAAGCATTATCGTGCTGGGTCATAACAGTTATTCTGTTGAGAAGAAACAATATGACAGATATTTTCACATGAAGATGGCAAAAGCTGCTTCTATTAATACGTCCTTGCAATTCTGAAGTCCTGGTAAAGACACAAGACACTATCAGAGGCGATCTGATTATCATAGTGGTCTCGTGAGCGCCGATCGCCTGATGAGCTTTGCTTGACGTTTGAAAAACTTTTAATTAAGTTGTTTTAACTGTATTATCTCGTTGCTGCAAAAATGAATAAATTCGATAATAAAAAAAAACTTTGTGCAAAAGTCGCCTGCTCATATCGCCCCAACGTCAGTTGCTTGGGCCTGGAACCTGTTTTCCATTGGAAACTAGAGTCAGACACGGCATGCGACCCTTGTTTTTACTTTTGTTTTAAAGAAATAAAAAAAAAATAGCGATTTCTACAAAAGCCTTATGCATATCATACCATTTACATGCGCGCAGAATGTACGTGGTAGACTTCACTTTGAAATGAAGTTACCAGAGCAATGCCACAACAAGTGCACGACGCCAGGTGCCGACAGAAAGCTTGTCTATGCACGTATGTATCATTAGGTTACCTGGAAACAGGGAAGGTATAGGAAGATATCTAATTTAAACGCTTGATCAGAGGGGCTTTTAGAAGCCTCGGCGTGTGCATGGTAGGTCATAATATAATCAAGAGAAAATAAATATGTCTAGCCGATAGCCATATTGATCGCCGGAAAGTTAATGAGACTGGAAAATTTCACTTGCTTTTATGAATAGTTACATTAGCTTTTGATATGTTGAATGGATTAAAACAGAAGACGTATTAGAGTCTATAAATTGGGAAATGATCAATAACCCATCTATGTGAACCCGACATGATTCACACTTAGCGGATCTTCTGAAGAAACGAGACAAGCATCCCTGAATGAACCCCTGACAGCTTCCAGCTGTCATATTTATTGCGCTGATCACAGCAACCAATAACTTCGTACTTGCAGACTGAAGTCTCTCGTGTGCATTAATCAGCAAATTATAAAGTTTGCTCCTACATTGCTCAGACGTCTAAAGGCTACGACCTGAGTTTTCTTCTTGTTAAATACTACTTTAATCACCGGGAGCCAGCTTGAGGAACTTCAATGTCTCCTCGGATGTCTGAATGAAACAGCCTCCGCGGACGGGCCAACGAATTTGAACGCTAGCCCCCCAGAATAAGTGCTGGCTATTGCCTTCATTCCATATATCTGTTCTATATTTACTGAACTCATAAATTTAAGAGCTTTCATGAATTACAGACCATGGCTGGCCGAGAGGAGGACTACGTGGTATCTCCTCTCAAGTATTGTCAATGGTCTGAAGACAAAAACAGTCTAAATGAAATATACAAATTTTAGTTATTTTAAATTACGTGGGAGTATACCTGTCCTAACACTATCAGGCACACCTCGCTGAAAAGTATTTTTCCCAGAAGCGCTGCAAAATATTTTTATTATTCCGTAATGGTTAGAAGCGAGTCTATTTCGAGTGGCCTTAAAACAGCACAATTTGAAGGCCTCCTTTTTTTTGAACTTGAACTGATCTCTTCAGAGTCACTGGCCGTCGACCCCGTATTTTTGTCATTTATGTTGCTATCTTTCATAATTTCATTAAAAATGAAAAGCACCTTGAGTGGTCTGTAATGATACGAATTAGCCATAATATCTGACTTGAGTATCATCAGGAAAACGCAATCGTCTACAAGGGTACTTTTCTGGTTTAATTTACAATACACGCGAGTGGTTGGTAGCCTTCATCCACTATATAACATGTGTCCCACAACTATTGAGACCTGAAGAAGAATTGCCAACAGTTAAAAATAATAGCACATCAACCCATTTAACGCAAAGAAAGGTATACCTTGTAGCGGCAGGCAAGACCATAAACCTTCTCACACTGCCCAGATTAACATTCCCTCTAGGACGAAAAGAACGACGCCATTTGCGAAGCATGTATTTAACGTAAAAACGACTTTCTCAGGCTTTGAGAGTGATTACCGGTCAGCTTTGGGACGTAGAGCAATGAGTCTCTGCATTGAAGACAACCAATGTTTTCTACAGAAAGCATTCCAAAACAGTCTGGCTTGTTCGCCTTCTGTTGCTTATTTATGCCGAAACCGGTTTTGGCCTCTACGGATTCTATGGTGTCCGACGCTTGGGCCCTACCTGTGTTTCAGACAGATGTAACAACTTACCATCTGAGGATCAATTACCGATAAACTTCACAATCAAATAAGTACGATCATTGCAAACCAAAGTCGGCCTACACATGCAAAAAGGCCTACATGATAAGTCAAAAAATACATGGCTAAAAATCGACGCACGGATAGTCTTGCAGTAAGTTTGACGGTACCACAATAAATAGTTGAGAGCACGATTATTAAAACCAGATCCTCTATAGTTGTCCAACTTTACTTAATAATATAACACTATATATATATATATATATATAATCTTTTTTAACGCTATCGGTCATTCTTATTGCGCGAACAAGTATTCAAAATTATCTCTTCGGTATAACATTAGCAGATTGCCTTTATTAAAAGGTCCAGCCGAGATAGATCTGCCAGATTTATCTGGGCCTTTGTCCAACGGGCGTATAGAACGACATGGTTATCATTTGCTAACTTTGTTGGAAAGAACCAGCGATGGCCACATGCTCATTACTCAGTATAGTAACGCACTCAAAGAGATCTACCTTAACCAACAGCACCAGCCGTCCCCACCATATTTTAGCCTGAAGGGTACAGTTGAGACGGCTTTTACGTAAGCATTTGCTTGTTACTATATTTTGCCAACATCTGAAGGCTATTCGAACACTGCTCACTATTTCGCAATAGAAATCCTAGCCTGCGGGGTAGATGGGTTGAAAGAAAGATTTCTTTATATATATATAGCATAAACATGTATGTAATTATTACTACATTGAAAACACAAGTTAGTTCACGCGGATCTCTAACAAGACGGCAAGCATATCACAAATGAAAATCTTCGTACTGCCGACACGTATACATATATAAATAATAATAATAATAACAGTAAAAATAATCATACGAAGAAGAATACACATATTCCAGTAGTCGATAAGAACTCATTTATGCACTTACCTTAAAAGTTAGGAATTATAAAAAAAAAAAAAAAAAAACAAGAAACACTAACAGAATTGTTTAATCGCACGGTCAACTCATTAACATTAGATGAATTCATTTGTCTTTTGTGTTAGCTTTTTCATTGTCTCAATATTCGGTCACGCAACCACTATAAGCTTCCAGTGACTGCACGCGTATCACTGGGGTAGAAAGGTGCAATACCATTGCTATTTCAAACGAGGTAGTTTTACATACGCATATATACATAGAGTGGAACAAAAATTTCTCAACAATTTAAGAGATTGTATATATACTGAAATTTTCAGCACATGCTACAGAATTTCATACGAACAAAGTATAACAAAAAAGCTTAGATTTACACGCTACACTTTATATACCCATATATATATATATATATATGTATGTATATATAAGTGTGTATGTGAAACGAAGAGTTCTACCTTTTTTCGTTTAAAAAAAAGGTGACCGGGCGACGTAACAACGTTAAAAAGTGAAAAATGAATAGTGGCAGAGGCATGCTATCGGAGACAAAAGGATATGTAGGTAAAGAGATTCGTTTGCCAATGAATGAGGCGTATCTGTCTTTGTGGCCCACATGACACGGCGTTACGACACACTGTTTCGGAGGCAGGCGACGGGATGGGCCTAGAAGGAGGAGCTTACGAAACCCGGGACGAGGAGACGCAGAAACAGATAGAGTAAATGGAAAAATAAAATACACGCATGACGACCGAGCGTGGCGATAGGCGGACTGGGTCTGATAAGCGATTACCGTGTCCCATCTACAGTACAATATAACTCATCGATATTCCGCTCTAGCCTGCGTAGTGTCTATGTGCCAATATAATAATAATAATAATAAAGAATATTGCTGGTGACAATGGCTGTAATGCTACAGCGGCATTGACGAAGGCTACGATAGATGCAAAAGGACTGACGACGTTTTTCGTTGACGTCACAGAAACAGCAGCAGCAGCAGCAGATTTCTTCGCTTTGGCTTATCCTAATAAAGGTCGTTGTGGTTAGTATGATTTAAACAGCGATAAAACGGTAAGTGCGCGAACAAAATTCTGTGCAGCTTATGTGTGCGTGAGTAACTAGCAGATTGAATATCGATCTATGCAACCCTTAAGGTTTTAAATAGTAGAAACCTGCTTTCCGCCTGACGTAAACCTATACTCTTGAAACTAGAGCGCCGCCTTTTAGCAGAATCAATGAACGAGTATGCGGCATATGCTTGAAAAGTTAACGGCACAAGTCTGAATAGAAGAAGATAATACATAGTGAAATTGTGCGACTCATAGGTTTCGATAGTTAGCTTACGGCTTTGAACGTTTTCTTCAATCAATACTTGAAGATAGATGATCTCTGAATAATAGAATCGGCTCGCTCAGTGGTTAACAGTATATCACACTACACTAAATCGTCTGAAGCCCACGAGTCGTTTACCTGTTCTTCTCGATAAAACAAGGCAGATCTTGAAACAATTTCCAAAGCCACCTTTGTATATATCTTCTGTCCCCCTGAGAACCGGCAAAAAGCAATAGTTTCATTGGGCTATCTCCGCAAAGCCACTGATACATTCGTATCCTTCCAGTGTATTAATTAACATAAAAACATCCTCTTTATTTATTGGGAAATCAACCGGTTTGACACGCTGAAGTGAATCTGGTAAGAGCAAATATGTGTGTCGAACGAATGCTGATTTTATGAGACCACAACTAAACGAAAATCTCAGGGTTTAAAGAAAATGGTATCTAGGATTCATCTTGCATGATTGCCTGTATTTACATACTGATATAGAACTTGTACTATGATTTACAGAGCGTTATGCTGTTTTACATGTTCTTAGTACAACATCAATGTGCCTAATGAACACAGGTTCATTTCGATACCTCGCTATGTATGATAAGAGGTGGATCTACAGCCTGTACGGGGTGTACATGTGTAATTTTTTGAATGGATGGACCTGATCACATCGTGCTAATAGAGTGTCAAGCTCGACTCCTTTAAGAGACAACCTGCGAAGTTCACCCGCCGCACCTGTCTGTTAGAGATCCTATACTCGTCAGAGAGTGTCAACTGTTCTGCGTCGTAGAACAGAGACATCAGGTCGCTGAAACGATGCTATCTTGCTTGGTAGATGGGGTGAAACCCGTAAACGAAGTGTATTTGCGATTTTTCAAGGCTTGATTCGTCAGCTGACCTTTATAATGGTATTATGATTGAAGGAAGAAATTTGACGAAATCTTTCAATTTCAGGCAAATTATGGGCAGAACATCTGAATACTCCAGCCTAAATAAGTGTCAATGTGGCTGGCTAGAACGAGTTCATATGGCATACGTGTTATATATATATGCATGTACATATATATACATATATATATATATATATATGTATATATATATATATATATATATATATATATATCGTAATGAAGAGCTAATAAATTGCGGTACCTGCATTTTTTGCACTGCGGTACCTGTTCCGAAAAAACTCATTGCAAATTCAAATCAAAACGAGCTGCTTGTCTGCCGATGCGGTAACATGGTTAATACCAAGTTCTAACTATCCCACATGGCGCAGTTACAGATAGAATTTGATTAATATGTATAGACTACGTATTTGTCTAGACAAGCGATTTGCCTCGTGAATAATTTCCTTAAGCTAGAAACTATGCAGTGTACGCTCGCGTAACTAGAAACGGTCAGTTCCGTTCTTACACACCGAGTGCTTTCGAGGGCATAAGGAGCTGATACGACCTGTTTTTTTCTAGTGTATGCCTTGTTTAAATAGGCTGCTCCTATCAAAAGTATTAGGTATCAGAGCTTATTAAGGGTAAAAATTTGTCCTTCATAACTTCAAAGCATGCCTGAGCCAGTGAAAAAAATTATTTTCAGCGGTTAAATCATTGATAACATTAATGAACCTCATTTTGAGTGTCTTCTTCTTTTTTGTACAAACAGCTCTGTATATGTAACTAGCATATATGTATTACTAGCGCGTATGAGACAATACTAGACAAACACTGTTAGTGTTTGAGAGGAACTACTCCTTAGAGCAAGCCAGAAAGACCCATTGGATTGGGCGAAATCGGCAAAAAATTAACTGTTTTTTAGAAATAACTTGTTGCTTCATAATGGCTAGTTAAGAAACCCAGCTAATAGTTTGCAGGTGTTCTTTGTTTTATCGAAGCTAGCTGCATAAGGTAGTTAGCCATAGAGCTCAGTCTCTCTCTTGAGGTCATTTAACAAAAACATTTCAATAGATTCGATGCATGTTTATCATTCTTACAATTACAAAAATAAATTAAGTAAGAACGAGAGATTCGAATTTTAAATAAGGAAGTAGTCTTCGAGTAGAAATTAGAAAAACCAGTGTACATTCTAGCTTATGCTTTAGCACTTATTAAAGTTATTGAATCTGTGGGTCCTGTAAGCGCCATTTAAACTCCGCATGAAAAACGTATTGAATAAAGCATTCCAACTATCAGGTATTAGTTACGCGGTTGAGCTCTGAGCCTGAGGCAAACCAGGTGCTGGCTTTGTATCGTATTTATCGCCCAGGGAAAGAACAATTATTACGGATGAGTTTAATCGAAATTCGCAAAATTAGCAATGGATCCATTCAGCTTTTTCTAAACGTGTGTGTATCCTTAATCTTCGTCATAGCGCTCAGTCAGGCACCATAAAACGCCGTTAAATATTCTAACATTCGTGATTCAATATCTTAGCATATCTATTAATTTTGTCTGGATAATTTCATTTTTTTCAGTAGTGCTATGGATAATAAATGGTTATCACGTGACATTTTTATGCTGACAGTGTTTTTTTACTGTATTTTTTAGTTTTTTTTTTCTCTCTCTACGTAAACTCAAATTGAACCATAGTATAATGGCTATATACAAGAAAGAGAATCATCCACACTCTGTGTCATATTTTGCCTTACACCTAAGTTCAAAACTAACTTATAAATTCTCGCATTCTCGCTTTTTACCTTCATTCATTGTAAACCCCTGCCTTAATACTACAAATATTTATAGAACCTGAATAAAATCCTAGATGTATGTATATAGCTGAGTATATTTGAGTTGATGGTTCCTATCATACAGGCAACGGTGGAATGTACTTAGGGCTCGTATTTAACATGTAAACCCCGACGGAGCTCATACATCTGTATAGACAACTAGGGCCACTAATTTACTATTAGTGTTCTTGAAAAATAGCAATCCCAGGGTCCAATGAAAGCATCGCCAGTAGAAATAACAGTTAGATTATTAATTTGTTTAACAGTTAGATGCTGTCAACTGCTGCGGCGAGTTGTTTTTAAACGAGCACAAAAAAATGTCAGATTATGACCTTGGCCTCGTAAACGCAAGCGTTTCCAGTCTCCTAATCGCAACCTCTGGTTATGTCACCCCGTTCTCCTTCAACTATGGTACTAAGTGTTTAAGTAAAGTCTATAAATTCCACTGTATTATTTGGACGACGTCGCCTAATCGTACAAAAGTTTCGAACACACAAGGTACCCATTTATACGCATTATATATATAATCTGGCCCCGATATAGCAATGATTCCAAGTGTACGCCATAGAAAGGGTAAAAGATCACCGGTGCAAGGAGGCTTACGAGTACGCATACTTGAATATTTCGTTGAATCTTCGATCTTTACTATGTTTACATGCTCAGATTAGCTTCCACGAGCAGTGGCGTGCTATATCAGCTCTGTCACAAGGATGCAGTACAGCACTGACTAACATGAATGAGTAGACCAGCGTGTCTTTCTGTTCTTATAATCCTGCTCCATATCCGGATGCATATCCGAACTTCGCCTCGGTAGACCGTCGTCGACCTATACACAGAATCGCCGTTGAACGCGTGTACCTTGCCTGGACTACTCAGTAGAAACAACAAAAAAAAAACTACAGATATAGAGCTAAGCAATCAACTAGCCACAGACCGTCCTTCCACAGAGAATCTCCCAGCTAAAAGGATAAGACCGCACAAATCCAAAATAGAAAATTGGATTACCTCTGTTTGGTTATCATCACCTATCATCGCCGGAGTCTTCGATGGTGTACATTCCTAAAGCTATGTCTGCGTTGCGGCTTAGTACCAGTGATAACAGGTACCTGGACGTTCGGCGACAGCCACTCACTCGCGCTTATAACTCGTAACTTATACCATTTTTGCCTGTAGCGGTAAAATTATAAAAAAATCAGAAGTCCTAACTTCCTGCTTTGTAATTCTTAGGACAGATTTGTTGAATTTAACAGAACTTGTCAGCTGAATAATAAGCTTGCTTTTTCCTTAGACGTTCCTAACAGTGATTAAGACACTTCTGGCTAAATTTTAATGAGACCTACGTTTTCGGATGAATCTTGTTCTTTTTTTTTTTCTTTTTACCAAACGTAAAGTACTTAACTAGTATTGAATTTTTAGGCTGCATATAAAAAGGACTAGGATACTATACGAGCATATTGTATGAGTAGTTCAACATAGCTATATGCCTTATTAGGGGCTAACTTGAAATCGAATTCGGTTGTCTCTCGAAACGTGTTTTTCGGTGGCTTTACTACTAAGCGTTGCGCACAGTTTGCATCGGTAAGGTTCTATGTGTTTTCACCTTATCTATAATTTTCCAGTACCATTTCTCGATAAAGATTACAGTGAATAAAGTGAAGCGCCGTTTTTTTAGAATATTGCCGAGCGGATGCAATTTATTCTTAGAACGCTTTGGATTGACTCTTAGCGTCTAGGAGACGCGTTAGCAAGCAGCCTTTATACAACTGCCTACCTAACCTAGCAACTGACCTAGGCCGTTCGGACTTCTAACTTCCAGACACATTGTGCTGTCTCATTTTAACGTGGAATCATTTTCATGAGAAAAGCTATTCGCAGCTTCACCTTAACACGCTTCACTCTACGGCTACCAGGCCGTCTGGTTACCCTTTTTCAGCTATCCTGCACGATTTCAGTAATTATGAATGGCTACAGAGAAAATTATGGATATAAATAGCTGTGTAAGGTTCCTACTTAAAGTGTTTCAAATCAGATCTGAAACGAGTCGCTTATTAGATGGTAATTGCGATGTTTTATAATGGGCCAAGGGTCAAGCAAAAACGCTCATTTGACCATCGAGAGAAATCTACAGTGCTTCTTAAGGAATTACCTGCATGACTGAGCACATACTTTACTAGGTTTACGAAATATAACTTCGCTAATTGTAACTTACCAGCTAGCTGTACTTGTCGCAGGATGTAAGTGGGCACCTGTATAACATAATGAAAAAAAAGAACATGCGATAACACAAGGTGCGTCAATTTCAATCGATCTACGAATCATAACCCAACACCAAAATAGCTTGAAGCACATCCTGATACTGAAATAAAATTGCTAATGTTTAATATTAACTTCTTGGTGTATCATTGTCTTGTTAAAGTTATATAACATACGTGATTGATATTCACTTAGTTGGATAAAGGCACGAAGTTTAAAATTCAGCTATAGATACAAACTTAAGAAAGTAATCTGTTTTTCTGTTCCGTACAACAGGTACATGGCAATATGTCATCCAATGCGTCAGCCAACAAAATCGAAAATTACACGTGCCGTCTGGAATATTATCGTCATCTGGATCCTTTCAATTCTCGCCGCTTCTCCATACACGTTCTTCATGCAAGTTAACTATCTAACATACGAGTACGTACGACATCGAATGATACACGTCCAGTGGGCAGACAAGACGGATTGTGGGTCTCAGGACGTTTTTCTCTGACTTGAACGCAATATGTATCGCGCAATTTTCGCCATGTTTAAGACCGAAACTTCAAAAACCTTATTATAGATAACTTTCCAACAACATAATATATATACGATTTGGGGGATTGTCATTCGTGATGGCTTGATGTCCTAGTTTAGCATTTAAAGCTGGGTGTTAAATGGACATTTTTGTGAAACCTACGTAATCTGCGCGGAACTAACGACTACTAACTAACGGCTACCAGAAAGCAGTTGGCGGTGCAGGCAATAGAATACAGAGCAACTGAGACGATTTTACTGGAGATCGATTTTCCCTAGAAATTTCCACAGGGGGGCATTTTTCTTTTTCTTATAATTTCTATGTATTATTTATATTAGGTCTAATTAATATATTAGGTCGTTTAATATAACTTAAACTAAAAAATATATATAGAAAATTCGAAGTTTTCACAGTTCACATATTTTTATTTTCAGTCGAAGTATACACTATTATTATCTATGACTTACTGCCAAACCAGGACCCATGAAGCCGGATTGCATATACAGTAGAGCCTCAAACAGACACTATAGGCTTTCGCAGCTGTGCATTTGCTTGAGGATTATGTCCCGCCAGTTAATTTGCATCCATCCGTATGATATTTCTGCAACCGTTATAGATCTATACATTTTTTTTTTATCACAATTTGCAGTTTAATGTAAGAGCGGCTCACCGTTGTAACGTGAAAGCAAAGCGTCTATACGTATCTGTTTTCGATCCTCGATCAAATCATACAGTGCCCATTTGACCTTTTCTTAATTTTATTAATTTAACTGGGGTAAACAAGTACGGTGTTTTTGTTGACACACACCAAGCATGAAAGCTAGTGCTTTGCGATTTGTTTCAGCTTTCTACTTTCCGTTATCCATCTTCAAAACTAACTGTTAAGTTTTCATTTTTCTATCTAGCATTGTTTAATCCAATACTAGGTGTACTTAGTAGTAAAACCCTCAACGAATGTATAGTTTATACGTCGAACTGTCCGTCGTTCTCGTTTCTAAATCGAACTTATATCTGTAAATCATTGAAAAATTTCTGGCTTCCCATGGTCTACCACAACTAATCTGCTTCACGCCAAGTGACGCAACATTTGACAACCGTTTGTTGACTGTTGGCCTCGAATTTGAAAAAAAAAATACAGGTGTATTTCAAACACAAAGAGAATATTGTAAAATATCGTACACCTATAGTGTTATCTTGAACTATGAGATTAACGTTCGCTACTGAGGTCCTAATACTTACAGCAATATAGTGCATCCACTATACTAGTAGTACCGCAAAATGAAGTTACGAAGATCGAAAATTGAGTTTTGACTATCTAAGTTATTGCATGAAAGAAACACAGACAGAAATAACTGTTTGTAGATACGGTTATTTTTGGCAGTTCTTAAATTCTGAACTACCAGCAAGTTGTATACGAACGTTTCGATGTCTTTGGGTACCTTTTCATGAGACTTTTGTAGATGGCGACGCCTGTTGATACTAATCCACTTGTTGCTCCCTAAGCGCTCAACATTTAAATGTAGGAAGCACTTCTTTTTTCGTAAGTTCTATATATTAACTCATTATCAATTAAACCTTCGCTAGTAACTTAATAATCGTTCATTATATCTAGTCCACTAGATTTGTCGTGCCTTCGTGCATTGAATAGATTTCAGATTTATTATAATTTCTTAAAATACAGAGTATATCAATGTTGACTCCGAGTCATAACCCAGGGCCAGTTGCTCTTTTCACATAGCTATGATTCGTGTACTGACCCTTTTAGAACGGGAAATATGTTCGACAATTACACGCTGAAGTTCACGAGGAAGTATTCGCTCACATTTATAAAGTCTTCAGAGCGTTGCAGCCAGATTCAAAATATACCCACTTTTATCAAAGCGCTAATTATGTCATCACTGTATCTGTAAAGCGATACTTCCTGAGATGCACGTGGCCGTCTTATTTCAAAATGCAAACATTTTATAATAATAATAATAATAACAAATTGTTATTATTATTCTTTCTTAGACCGAAGCTTAATTAATAACATCTTTAATGTTTTCCTCTGTCATGATGGATGAATTTGTTTTTCTTAGGTAAAAACGTGATCTCTGATGTTCCTATTTGAAGAATTGCTTTCAGAGAAACTTACCGTTGTTTCTTAATTCTAATATTGATAATAACAATAGTAACAATCATTGTTACTGGAAAAGCAAGCTCTTTACGGAGTATTCGAAAAGGTTATATACTACTATATCGTAGCTCCAACAGTGAGTGAGTGAGTTATAAAAGAATTTATTTGTTATATTATTTCAGACTTGAATTTTGATATCTGATTTGAACACTACCCACAGATACTGGGGCGTATGTATCCATATGCGAAGGACATATGTTGCACCCATACATATATGACCGAATAATTGTTTTTTTGTGCATATCTTACATCGATATAGGAATCATATGTTTACAGAATACCAACAATGAGCACCTGGGTTATTCCTAAAGCTAACAACGCGAAAGCGCTTTATCTTTGAACGAGGAGTATATGAGCTGAGACCTGATGGTAAAGACCGTCTGCAATATAGAGATAATACAAATACTACCTACATCTGTATCACTGATTAGCAGCTTTTGTTTCAGAAATGTCTTGTACAGCATGCTATTCCCATTGCAGAGCACTTATCTCCTTATGTCATTCTGGTATTATTTCTATAACCACTATTGTTTTTCTGTTCCTATTTCTCTTTGCTCCCTAAAATGGCTTATGTAGATGGAGCCTTTCAGTTTTATTTTTAAGCAGTAATGGGGTTTTATTGCAAGATACGTTTTGCCTTAGATTTTGAAATGGATCTAATTTTTTTCTTATTTTGCCCTAGTTAGTTTGTAGCAGATTTCTGCGCTACCAAAACCGTGCAACTAAAAAGTTGTCCAATTTTCGCTACTGCACTCGAGGCAACCTCTTCGCTGGAAAATAAGTAGCTGATACGACGAAGACTGCGAAAAATATCGAAGCCTGGTTGACGATATCTGAGGGTGTTTATCAAAATCGATTGCAGCACGTTGAAGCCGAAGCTCCCTGCTTTATTAAAAAATCGCACGACAGAGAATGAAAACCCGTAGACTGCGTAAAAATTCAACTTCAGTCGCCTCAAAGGCCTTCTGCGCCTTTAGAAGGTGGTCATATCACTGCGGAGAATCTTCTGTATGCGCTGGGCAGTATAATGAAGACAGTAAAGCGGCTCCCATATTAGCTCAATGAAGATGCCATTTCTAGCTCCTTACTAATGTGCATCTCATTGCTCAGTTTTAAAACATCATTTCGAAAGTCATTTCGACGTAAGGCCGGTATCGAGGACGAGAAAGTAATTACATTCAACAACTTTAATGTAAGAGAGGACAGTTAAATCGTCGTTAAGGTTTATCATGAACAGCTCTGAAGGTACGTTGAAGTACGTACAGCTGAAGGGGCGCTCTGCATTAAGCTTCGAAAATATAGCGAAATGATAGATGCAGAGGGCCACACAACTGAACGCGTCTCTGAACTTGCTCAATAAATTGACGATACAAAAGTTCTCAAGACAAAAGCTATGATATGTGTCTTGATTATCCGAAACGTTCTGACGGATCCCGAACTCTTTAATTTTGTCTCATAGATCGGATCTTGCTCAACTGAGTTATAAGTGTTCGGATTCGTACAATACGACTTAGGAGACAAACTGTCCAAAGAAATAGGCAAACAGTGAAGAAACAATTTTTTAAATGAGTACCTGCCGTTGGCATTTGATAAGTTGAAGAATCTGTCGGCTGCTCATACAGCAAACAAAACCCGCTAAGGTTAGTTTTTTTTTTTAATAGTAAGCACCACTTCAATGGGTTCGATAACGAAAGTACTTCCTCACTGTGTGTTTGTTATTTAAATTCTAGCTAGACTAATCCATTTTTCTTCAGCCAATAAATTCCTGAAAGAATTACACCTTTGAAGGATCACTTAGTTTAATCTGGAGCTTGAAGGCGTGGCTATTTCTAAGCATGCGACCGGCAGCCGATCTTTAATTATTTAAGGCGTAAAGTCGACTCATACGTCGCAACTGGCAACATAGAGATGTACTGAAACTTACCTAATGCAACACTGTGAAACGAATACCATTAGCCAATATGTATTTGCGTGCTAATGTCATTTTACAAATTTATGACGGTTTCACAAGGCAGTCTTTCGACGGGCTCTGCTAACATCAGCGGCAATTAATCGGTACGCGTTCTTCTCACAACTCCCGCTCTCGTCCGAATCTGATCGCCACAGTCGCCTGTGTCAACGATCGCTTTTGACGTCGTTGATTACGTAGGTTACGCAGCATTTTCATGACGTCAAAAACGCATCCTTACGTTTGTTTCTGTGAATATCCGGTAGTTCGAAGGGTCGCCTACGCTCAAGCTACGCAGCGACTCTTTTTGCGGCTAGTAGTACTCTCAATATGTCACATCATTGGTTTTTTTTCTAAGATAATTTTCGAAGGTAATGCAGCTCGAGCAATAATGCAAACGTTTTGAACACTTTTCCGCGTGCTGGATTGCGTACAGAGGGGCGCACACGCGTCCATAGAGTACATCGTCGTATTGCCTTCTAACGACGGACATGGATCGTGTGTTGCTACTTCCGACGTTGACTGATTACGTATAGAATACACCGGGGACGAAAGGTTTTTCATAGCTAAAAATGTAATATATAGACAAATATGCGAAACGGTTACGTGTTGTTTAAATTTTTCGGCCTATTTTTCCTTTCTGACAGTTCTATTATAATTAACTTCGCTTTCTTGGCTATTAGAAAATGTATTTTACAGAACTAGCTAGGCAGAATGGTCTGAACTTAAGGCCCGCGCAATACGTGAGCATCCAGCTGCATCGAATGAGATGTCTTTTTTGTTATTAATGAACTGACTGTCGAAGAAACGTAACTTCGGCACTGAACTGCCATAAATGAATCATAACCGAAAGCTGGGGTCACATAATTTGTCACAACGATATCACCTAATCAACAGATGGTTCTGAAGGGATCGAGCTGAATATGTTTCCTCTGAAAAACCAAATTCTATTTATGTCAATTTGATTACCAGGCTACTTGTGGACTGCTGCGAATGCTGTGTTTGAGCCGGAACGCAGAGAGCTAAAAGTAAACATGTAAACAAGATATCTATCATTAATTCTATCTATTGCATAGAATTTTTTCCTAACCTAAATCTAAAAATAAATAAAAAAAACATTTTTTTTCTAAATCTACCAGTTTAAATGATAGCTGACCGGCCAAACGTAGGAGGTCTGTATACGGTATACTTAAATAAGAAAAGCCCGTGTCAGCGGCTAATACGATGCTTCCATTGGGTCGAGGTATAGAGAAAGGGTGAGTGTGAACTACTTGCTTATTAAATATACTACCATTGTCGGTTTTTATGAGCGCTCTGTTAGATTCAACCTGGAACTTTAGTCGTTTAGAGTGGCGCTAAGTGCATACTCGATACTTCCTTAACGTGATTTTCGGCTGTCAAGTGCCTTTTATGTGGAAAAAGAAAACGAAAATCTGGTTATATAGGTTGGCATCAAATGCTTTTTAGATGCTAACATTTTTCCTTTTTAACAAAAGGGAACCGAATTATGCTCTAGGGTCTTGCCTTAGGCCTTTGCGGGCTGATGGTACATTTTCCTACATGGTGGTGAAACCTTCCGTGCAGTTGCATGGTAAAATTACCACCATCACGTATTTCACAACGTAAATAGGCAAAATTGCAGGACAAGAAAATATAATACATTTAACGGTGGTCCTAATTAAGAACTTGCACGGGTGTGTTCTGGCAGGACAGGATTAGACTTATCCTGTCAGAAGGATGAATATTGGTTTCTTAAAGATGTGCATTTAGCTCTTGCGAAGTAGAGCATTATCTAAAATAACACGCAATGTTATTTTTATAGAATATTTTTTAAGTCTGGATCAGTTTAACACATAACTTTTGCTTGCAGTGAAGTCGGCTATGTAACCCGAGGAATCGTGACTCATTCAGGGGGAAAACATTCACTTCAGCTAGATTATCCATAACGAATTTTTACAGTCTCTCTGATAGAGAAGAGTGAAACTCATCTTCTTTGTGTTTCGGCGATCTTTGACGTCCATTAGCATCGCTTGTAAGCACATCTTTCCCTTGGATCTAAAAAAAAATCAGGCCATATACTTAAGTGTGGTTCGTGGCACCCGCCGTAAAATATTTCGTCTCATAGCGCAGACGCACGCACTGTGCCCACTCACGTAAAGCTCACATCACAAATTCCAAGAAAAAGGACGAAGTTTACGAAATCGGCAACCCTATTGTGAGGCGAACTTACTAGAACGCAGATCAGTGAATAAATAATAATCAGTCATTTTTGCACGCCTATTCATGTTTGTGTTACCGTTTTTTTTTTTTTTTTTTTTTTTGTATACGTATGAGAAAACAGTTTGTATTGGCAGTAATTATGACTTTGTCCAGGACTAGTTCTTAGTCACTGAACGGCCATGTACGCATTAAACAATAGTATAAAAATACATTTCTAAAGTTTTGGATGCAAATACTAATAGAAGTCTCAACAACTACCGAAACAATTACGATATCGTGTATCTGCTTTAGAGTGTGAGTTTCAATCTTTCTTACCGATCATAGCATTAAACAGTTATCATATCTATTGCATAACAAAGTAAATCTAATAAAGGCAATGGTTAGGAAAACCCAGCTAGCTTCCATATCTCCGATATTGTATTCGCTATAAGTGACTGCCCTATGTTTTTGCTCTGTTTGCTTTTCTATGTGACCGTCAACGCAGGACCGGTGAGCCAATTCGAGCGTCCGCGTGGTGTGGCTTCCCATTTAATCAGCCTGACAATTCCTGGGAGTTTCTCCTGCTATGCTCAACGTTCGTGTTTTTCGTCGCACCCATATCCATCATCATGGTTCTTTATTTACGAATCGCCGTAGCGCTCAACAAGACTCTCAAGGTATTCTTGCAAAAACACGATGACATCAAACAATTAACAAACAGGACAAAAACCAGCAGTAGGCAAGTTTATCATGCTCACGATAACAGCCGCTCCCCGTACTATTCTCCTAATTCTAACTGCGTAATAATCTAGCAATGATATAAGGACAATGCTAAGTTTATTTCATTTAGCGCTAGTATCCTGTCAGTGCATGTTGTCCGCTCACTGCCCAATAGTAACGAACTCAATTAGTCGGTTAAGTCTACGAACGATGTTTCAACGAAATGCATTTCGACCACTTGTTGAAGATATATACAAGATACAGAAGCTAATTTTGAACCTTTCTTGTATTCTCTACCTGAGACTATATCTAGATAAAAAGAATAGTTTCAACTAAGTTTTCACTCCTGACGGTAATATTTATTCACTATAGCCACGACTGCCGCGATTAGAGCTTCAATTTAGGTCCGTCCTTAGCCGTTCTTAATCTCATCAGATGTTCCCGTTTCTATTCTGTAGATGTTGTTCTGATAGTACGGGTCAACGCTGACATGTCGAAACCCGTTCGACTCTCGTTCAATAATACATACATTGTACTCCGATGGGTTGAAATCTAGATTGTTTAGTACACATCTGTATGATCCAGAAGTCCAGTCAACCCTGCACTACTAATTTAAGCCGGTGCGCCACGTTGTCGGAAGATTTCTAGTTTTTCGTTAGGCACTTGTATCCATATAAATTATCCACGACTACACATCAGTTTGTAAGACATACAGGCAACATTGTTTAGTGGTGCTTTGGCCTTTTTGCAAGACCTGTGAAGGCATGAAGTCTTCTTCACTGGATATGGCACCCAGAATGTAAACGCTAAGCTTTCAAAATTTGTTTTCCCCATAGTAGATACATTCTCTGAATCATAACCGAAAGCATCGACGATAAAAAAAAGTTTTCGTCAAAGAATAATCGAAAGCAATTTCTTCCTTCATTTTTGTGAAAATTGGATAATAAACAACACGCAATCAGATTCTTGAGAGCATTTGTCTGATTTTTACGACATGTGAAGTATACATGAGGTCTTCATCCGTAACATCGTACGCTCACTAACACCAAATTTCATCATTTAATCCGTCGATTAACATCGATTAACTCTGGAGGAGTCCGCACTGTTTTTTCTTCGGATCTTTATCATGGTGCTGCGTTAAGAGCTGGTTTGGCTTCTTCTGCAGCCACATGTGCAGTAATACACAATCATTATTTAAAACATTTAGATTCTCAGTAGAGTTCCGACATTAACTGATCTTTGTTTGAGTCCCGAAAACAACAAACACTTTGTTGCCATGACAAGTTTGCGGGCTTTGTTGTAGAAAAAACTGGCTTTGCTCGTTCATCCTAATTTAAGTGTAAGCCATACATTGTTTATACATCTTTTTCTAAAAGTAACACTGTTCTCTTTAGTGCTCAATATATTTGTAGAAGTTAGGTGTAAGAATGCAACTTATGTATGAATTTTGCATGCCATAAATGCTTCCGTTATTTTCACACAACCTTTATTTCACAAACTTATCTACTCAGATTTTGATATGTAGCATAGCGATGCTCGAGAAGGCGATATTTACATTCTCAGAAACAGCTTCTCAGCCTATTACAACAACAGTTTTACTTTATAAATATACATATATAAATTTTCAGATAAATGCCCCATCAAAAACGGCGACGGCTTTGACATGGGCCTAAAATTAGGTGGATATTAAACTGATGCATTTTAAAAGATGAAATCTTTAACAACGAATCATAGGATGGTTAGCCAATTACCTTGTAGGGCAGACGTTTCTGATTACACTGGCCGATATACGGGTGATAGGCTCGCCACGTCCTGCCGCGTAGTAGCTGGGCTGGTTCGGTCTCCTGGTGCGTCCCAGAGGTAAACTTCAGAAAAGCCTATAGTATTAAACTCATAGAAGCGCGGTCAGCTATCAAATCGCTCAGCTGTTTGAAGAGCTTCAATGGCAATAACTAAGAAATTATCAAATAACTTTAGACATCTGCTAATTGAAACGCTTCAACAGCATAAATCTAAATAAACATTCTATTCATTGAAATTACGATAGATGCATATGTTTTGCCCTTAAGGGAACGTAATAATTGTTGTAGCTGTTCTGAAACGTACACGGATACGCAAATACACACTTGTGAAAACAATGTAATATATAATACCTGTTTAATTACAAATAAGTTCTAATTTTGGTAGATTCTGCCGATATAGACCGTATTAACTTTTCCTTAGCCTTTGCCCTTTAGCTTGAAAAATTGTTAAAATTCAGGATGACTAGTCCTGACCAACTAACTAAGACGACGGGGAGTAAACGATTGTAGGGGCTGAAGGATAACATAATCGGGAGTGGAAATCATACTTGATAAAATAATGTTCGTTTCTAAGAATATTTTTAAATAAAATTCTAGATTATTGCAGATTTAGTTCATCATATCAAATCTGCAACGTAACATTGACAAACAATCTTCTAGTATAACTGAAATATGCTGATCTGCGTGATTTCTCAGATATCGTCGTATCTGATCGTGTAAACATAACTATATGGTTCAATTGCCACAGTATATTGGATAAGTTTTCAAAAAAAAACACCCACATCTGTCAAAAGTATAATTATATTCATGCAAAGTCAATTGTCTAGTATACAGAAAATGGGTGTCAAATTTATTACTGCGCTTTTTGAAATCTAGACCTTTTAATCTTCTCATTGTTCAATTAATTCCTGGACAGCAGCTATTTTAATGTCCTAATATGATATGATGAAGTGTTCGTTAAGAAGCAGTCTTTTTAGATTGCCGGTTAGTAGTACTACGTTATTGACCGATAGTCTTCACCAATATGCTCACGGTTATAAAGCTTTCTCAAGAATTAATGATGATAATTGCCATCAGGATCTTGGCAACGCCTGGGGCAATCATAGCCTAATTACGCTTGCAGACATTTCATATCTCTCGGATATATATATATATAGAATCGCATTAACGTGCTGAGCATTGAATGGTTAACACACGTAAACCATATATAACGTGCGCGTAACCATTTAAGCACATCGATGCTTCTTAATATAGGACATGTATTATAGGTTCAATGTCAATCATCCGTTCTGTATTATTTAAATGATCTTACCACTCGCCGTATACGGATAAAATTGAGCCTTTTTTTTTCGCGTAGAGTCAAATTATTCGTACAAGCGGAAATTTGTTTGTTCTGACAACGATGATATTTTTCAGTCTGTTTGAACGAGGGCCGTGGCCTTACGTGCTATTGAATGTAGCAAATATAATGATGAAACTTGAACCATGGGGTGTCTCGTATAAATTCAAGCACCTTTTTGGCTCGGTTGTCACAGCAAATTTTTCATGGCGGGGAGGAGAGATATGATAATTTTTTTTTTTTGTGAAACCGACGGCCTACGTTGTTACAAGTTTTCGTGCGGCGTCCATAAGATTTCTATAAAACAAAGCGCAAGGTCCTCACCAGGGCCTTGGGTTAAAGGGTTCGAAATTGCTCAAAAGATGTAAAAAGCCATTATCTTGCATCTATGATACAGAGGCTACCAATTCTTTTCGAGAAAGTACTTGAAAGTTTAGTCGTCCAGATAAGCTCTAATACTTATCCTTTCTAAAATCCTTTGGACATTGTTTTGGATCTTTTGGCCACTTTGAACGCTAGTGTTTCTACGATTCTTAGCCCGCTATCGGCACGAAGTCCGCCGTTTTTAATGGAACCTAATATCTGAGCAATATTTAACGTAACTGTACGTACCTACGTTGCTCAACGTTAGTTGCGGATTAACCAAGTAATATTATAAGGATAACCAATGAGGCTGTGTGTGGATTCTGAATACAGGTTGTTTAAATGCGGTCCCGAAAACAGAGCATAGGAAATTCTAATTTATTCAAAGCACCTTGGAAATTATGTCAAAAAATGAAGATAGAAAATTGTCATTATATATATATATATATATGAAACTTCGTTTCCTGTACATTGGCATCAGCTATTACAACAAGCGCAAAAACATAGGTGAGCAGACCGAAAATCATGAAAAGGTTAATTATTTAAGGATAACTTGATGATAACTTTTAAGGTGTGCATCAACTCAAATGAGGCGAAACAGAGTTGTGATTTTTTTCTTTTTTGTAATGGCAGAAGCACCTGTGTTTGTTGATTAAGTGCCCGTTTCTTCCTGCCGTTCACAATGATAAAAGTCACCAGTAAGCGGAATCGCTTCCCGAGTAAATATTACCCTCAGACGATTGACGCGAGCGGTCTTACCGTGCAATATATCGGTTGCAGGCCGTGCAAATTATACCTGTTGGATTGCCTAGAGTCGCTTGTTAAGGTAGAGAAAAGAAAGTAGCCAACGGCACTTGGAACTACGTATGAATTTGTTAGAAATTCTAATAATCTAAAAATAACATAATAATCTATATAAATCATAATCTAAAAAAATATATATATATCAACTTTTCTAAGGATAATTTTGCAGCCTGTATCCCTGTGTAATAATAACGAAGCAAATAAAGCAGTAAACTGCAAACAGTTATATTCTGCATACTTTGGGTAGAACACAAGAGCAGTACGGCTTGCGCAATGTTGCTAATAATATCCTCAAAAAAACCAACATCCTGTTCTACGAAAGCCAAGTTCTAAGGAAATTATGCCCAGTTAAACAATGGTGGAACCAACAGGTTTATACTGGAATAAGTTCTTTTCAAGTTACGTCACACCGTCTACGATGTGGAAGCGCTTGGCTGGGCAAGTCGTTACGTTGACGATGTTTCACTCAGCTATTGCGTAAGATGTCTTGTGATCAAACTCAGTCTAGTGAAGAACTGTCGCCGGCCGCACGGTGTCAACGGCTGTCACGGCACATAGGGCTGCTGTTTACAAAATTGGCGTAACCTGTTCCGCGAATACAATGAAACGGACAGCGGTAACCGTTCTATGACCATGTTAGTATCTGAGGGCAAATAATTTCTGTGGACCGCATATAGTCATTTATGACAAATTATATGAGGTCTGAAAATATTATACTTCTACTGAAATTGTATACGGCAGCGTTCTATCTATTTTACGGCAGTATGCTGAATCAATAGAGCACGTATAAGAGAGAATCTGTCCGTATCGTTGAGCCCTATAGCGCTATCGGTACCTGTATATTGTGCATTGTCAAGCTAACATCTAGCTATACTTTAATCTCGGTGAATGGGCACCAATTTACAGCTCAGCAATGTATATATATATATATATTTCATTTTGCCGTATTTTCACCTTGTCTACAAAATGGTACGCGTGGCATAGGTGGAAATTGACCACTATAGTTAGCAAAAAATACGATTCAAGATTAAATTAAATGGTGGGTTAACAGATGGCCGGAAAGGCTGCTAATCTCTACTCGGAAAAAATGTTTTCACCGAGTGTCGGTTGACCTATGGACTTGTCATAAGACACAATGCGTCCTCACCGTTGACTCAACGCTGCGTCGCTTCATTCTTGTTTTCATCAGATAAATAATACGCTCCCGCAGAGCAGGAAGATGGCCAAGTTTCGCAAGTGTTCGTTAGGTCGCAATAAAAAAGCAGGCAACGAGCTCTTAATAGACAAACCGCCGTTACTTTTCTTCGTGTGGTTTATGTTGCGGAATAATACTAGTGAATGAAGGATATAAACACAAATATCCTTGTTCAAACAGTGTGCTTATTCCGCCCAACCTACCCACAAATGCTATACTTTTCATATCTTTTGATTCTCACATTTGTAATCTACAATGCTCTTCTGACCAGTAAATACAGTGCTATACATTTGCTAATAAGTCGTATGTTGACTTTGCACTACAGCAAACGACAATAGAGCCAAAATGAGCAAAATCAGAGCCGTTACTCATCACTGACTGGTGTCACAGTGTCGATGTCACAATAAGAATTCTGCTCTACCTATATTGATCCATTGTTTCTGTTTTTTGCCGGGTTCATTTTACAGATGCAGCTACAACGATCGTATGGCGCTTCGGGAGGTTTCTGTGTGGGTCGCGCTGGGCCCGTCGCAAGCGACTGCTCCTCGCGCTATCACAGACACGATGGAGAGCGCTCGAAAATGCAGAGTAGAAGAGTCGTCGTCAGAATGCTAGGTTCGTTCAGTGGCTCACATATTGAATCAAAAGAGAGGCCCCTATTTTAAGCTGGTGGCATTAAGCCCTAAGCAGCAAAAGACAAATGCTACAGTCGATGGGCAGACGATGGGGTGGGGGTGCAGCTATCTAGCTGAACGTAAAATGCGGCATCTTAATAAATCGCCAAGCGCCTGAGACAATCCAGCCTGCGACAAATGGCAAATCTGAAAACTTGCAACATAGACGTTGAAAAAGTCCATTTTATTAGCAGACGACGTGGTATCATAAAAGTTGTTCTGTGCTTTTTATAATACCACGCGATTGAATGTTTGTTGTATAGGTAGATGCAGGAGAACAATCCGTTAATATGTCTTTTGATAGTAGTTAACTAGAAGCCTACTTCGAGATGCAACCTTCAAGAGTGAGGTCGTGCCCAATGTAAATAACTCGTGGAGGACTCGAGAACGTCTTGCTTAAGTGAAATTATCGTATGATTTCTGATCCAGCACTGCCCTGCATTAACACCTTATAAATCTACAGGTGACGAGGTTTCTTAGTTGCTTACTTGATAAAATCCGTCGTAAGGTCCGCTCAAAAAGACTAAAATCTCTGAGTCTTCAATAGCTTAAGATAAAATTCTGAGCAAAAATAGCCCGCTCTTATAGATCGATCTCGTTAAACCCTTGTATACCTAATACTTTTCCTCACTTCGAAACCCTACAAAATCAGAGATTAGTCGTATCTGACATAGTACTCAACGATCTAGAATGATCAAGGCATTCTGTCAGCAGATGAAGCTGTTCCTGGTCCCACCAGTTTCCACCAATGCTTTAGGACCGTAATCAGCAGGCGTTTTTTAGAATGCAGTCCTTATTAACGGCAGGATTGATGGTTCTTTATGAGCCTATTAATGAACTGAGATAAATGTGTGGTTGCATTAGATAATCCATAGATATCTGGAATAATTTCGGCCCCTTTCTCTGCCTAGTTGCAAGCCGTCATTCTATAGTCCTACTCCTAAGTACTTTTATTAAGCTCATAATATTACTGCGCCTGACCTGCGTATAATACCTACTAAGAGTATTTAGATGACGCACTAATTATTAGTCGTTTACGTTTCGGTCATTATCATTGGTACTTTCCAAACAATAAGTTTCAATAATTATAGGGGAGGTTTGGTTCGATTGACACTGGAATCTGTACGAGATGCGGTCGCCCCTGCTGATCGGTTTCGCAAGGGCAGAGGATGAACCGATAAACAGAAGTTCCACTATTTATAGCAATAATCATACTTATTTACAATTTTAATCTGTTCCCAATGGCAGAGATCAGGTTAGTCAATAAACGATGATCGTTTTCCACAATGCAATCTGGCACCGTTTTCAACTTAACAGGAACCAGTTATATATCTGTTAAGTTCCAGTATTATAACGATACTGCTGGTCTTATGCGAATCCTCATTACCGATTTTCATCTGAGCGAGTTGTTACTACGAAATTAAGTCACTTTTCAACTCGAAAATGACGTTCTACATGTTTCTATCGTCATTATGATAAACTCCGAAGTTTTTCAAAGTAGACCCAGTTACACGATTTAGGGAACTCGAGGAAGTTTCACAAAGCACTTATATCCTGGCAAACGGTCCTCTTGAAATACTGTTTCGCTTGTTTGCTTATTAATAGCGGGACTTCGATAGGTCCAATGTATGAATGGCAGGACGTGCACCAGACGGACTTCACGAATGCTTAAGGTGAAGCATGTCGTTCAGTTTCTATCATCCATAATCGAAGCCCGATATGCAAAGGTTATCGACGTGCTGTATAAGTTCTCGAATGACGGTGATCTATTCTAGACATATATGCGTTCATTAAGTTAGCGATACCGATAGATCTGTGACTGTTGGTAAGTTCTAGGTATGCTCGTAGGCAAGCTCACATCAAGTTACGGTTGTTATTAGTAACAATTTATGATATTCTGGGTGCGTCATTTTCAGCCGCTGTGGTTATCGCATTTTTTCTGTGCTGGGCTCCGTATCACTCGCAACGACTTTTATTTTTATACGTTTCACTCCATGGAAATTGGAACGAAACCTTGAGAGACGCGAATCAAAAATTATATACACTTGCAGGTAAGTTTACCAGAATCGAATTATACAGGTACAAAACAGATAGATATTGAATTAAGAAACATCAAAGGTCCGAACACTCTGTCGGATGTATCGTTAGAATATTGTGGGCAACCTGCCATTGATTTAGTGCACAATATAGGGTTGCTTCATAGCTCAAAGGTGGCAAAGTGTTCATTAGGTTTATTATAACAAAGTTTATGTCCCTTGCCCCCCTTTCTCTCTGCCTCGATATCATCTACAGTTAGGTTCGAAACGCTGATGAACTTGATTCACAGTTACAGTATCAATCGTTAATACCCGTTCAAAATCCAACATGTAGGTTGCTCCGTGTAACTTTTCCCGAATACAGTTAGCGCCGATGCGTCATATCAAATCGACAGAAAGCATTGGGGCCGAAGGATTGCATTGTGTAGAGCCAACTTGACTTGTGGATCAGCGTTGTGATGGTGGTGGCAACCCCTAATTTTAGAAATGTTTCGCTGGCGAGAGTTATTGTTTGATATCGTGCCGGTAATGGCTTTCACAGTTTAAAATGGCATTGATTGTTGATAACAACAAACAACTATTTTTAACAATTTCATCGTTTCAGATACGAACAAAAAAAAAAAACAATAGAACGTAATAATCGTCGCTGTCTGTCCTTGATGCGGCCGGCGACGTCCGGTCGTCTGTTATTAGTACTCTTATTGGACATCGACTGATTCTTCGTCATTAACAGAGGAATGGGAGAGGTCTATGTGTTGTAACTTCGACATAAACTAAAATCCATATATATATATATATATAATTGAAGCGTCTTCTGCATCAACCGCATTGAACGCTAGCATTATCTAATTAATGGTAGCCAACGCCGCTAAGAGATTTTACTCTTTATTCATATAACTTCTGCTCCTTTGGTTACAAGTTATAATAGTATTATATTATTTTTGTTGTTCAAAGTGAACAGTTTGATTCGATTTAAAGCCTATTTCATTCATGACGTAGCCAGAGAATGTAGGTAAGGCTACCGTGGCAAGGCTATACTAAGTTTTCGATAACTAGTGGGACCGCAGGCGTTCAATGAAAAAAATATAGAGAGCTATAGAGTAAAAAGGAAGTAGTATATATATATATATATATATATATATATATATATATTTTTTTTTTTTTATATAATAATCTAGTGTAAATTAAAAAAAAAAAGAATATATATATATATTAGAAAAAGTGCTAGAGTATGATTACTAGAAAATAAACATCGATTGTTTATGCACATCTTTGATACAGTTTTAATTATCCCTTATTGGATCTTGAATAAGAGAACGGTGTACACTTCTCTACTTTGTTGATTTGTACAGGTTGCTTCTACTACTTTAATTCGACAATTAACCCGATACTTTATAGCATAATGTCCAATCGGTTCCGAGTGGCTTTTCGGGAAAAGCTGTGTCCGCCACGTTTCGGCTGTTGCGCCCTCTTCAGGCAGAAGGTACGATAGTCGTCCACAAAGACCTCCGTACATCTCTAACAACGTATCCAGATTTATGCCCTTATTATGCGTTGAATGCGTGTTTCTCTAGGGATGGCAAATAATCTTTTCGCTACGAAATTTAACGAAGGCTAAATTTGAGTAGGACCTTGCACTGGTCAGGACACTCGGCTCTATTAGCGGCAAAGTTGACGCAGCACCAAAGTCCCGTGTCCTGCTGCAACGATCCGCCCCGACGCTGTTAACATTTTGCCTTCAGTATCACTCAACAGCGCACCGCTTAGCAAGCAAAAGCAACACTCTGTCCCTATTAAAACAAATCGATCTTAAGTCCTCCTCCTCTAAACGAGATTTTCGTATACTCTTTAAGCATGCGTCTTTCGATTTCCAAACCCTTGTATATACTATTGATTTGATGAAACTGACAAACTATATGGTACAGGTTGATAACCTCTAAAGATCCTTCAGTAACCAGCTCACTGAGTATATATGCTGAATGTCTTGATTTACAAGTATGGAGTGATCGCTGAAACCGTTTTCCGTCAATAACTAATAAAAACTATAGTTAAAAGACGTCTTACACGCTGACAAACGAGATAAAAGGCCAGGAGACAACATCTATTAATTTTTGTCGATTTTGCGCATAAATCACAACCCTGGATGACAATAAAAAGTATTAAATCATTTCATACAATTGATCATGTGGTTAAACAAAAGAATTAGTTCCTGCCGGCCGAATCTGATATCTCTAACTATTCAATCAAATTTTCAACCAGATCAAATTTTCTGGAAGTATGTTCCTCACACACATTGATGTATTTTGTGCCTGCGGATGTCTACCTTATATTTTTCGTGCTCGTGACAGGGTGACGACAATATAGCAGGTGGCCGAAGCGGACGAAGCGGAGGTGGAAACTATCGCGCTCCATCTGCCAGCTCCCAACCCAGTGGTGCGGCCCCGAATAGCGCACGACTAAAGCACGGTGTACATGGCACGACGCATCCATCGAAGCATACGACACCCTCAGTGAAATGGACGTCAAAAGATAAAGCTGGGCAGCAAGAAATGAATAACGCTGATGGACGAGATAATAGTCGAACGCTTATTTATGACAGTCAGCATCACATCAAAGTACCTGTCATACGAAAATTCAGCCTATCTGGTAAGAGCTCCGCTCAATTCAAATATCCCGCCAATGGAGATGAATGATCAGAGCACGCCTAACGGAGGTGTCTGTAACTTTGTGTTTAATAAATTCGGAAACGATCTACTTTTTGCCTATTCTATAATATTGACTGGGTGCTATTACCTATTCTACTACAATTGATAATAATTATGACAGTGAAATCAGATGAAACATTATATAGCGTTACGCCGCAAAGCGTCATAGTATTACCGCATGGAGCCGGATGAAAGCAACAAATGAAGCTAAGCAAGAAGGACGGCTGTACTGATGTAGATAATTCATCATTCGTGCCCAATATACGTTTGCTCCTGAGTTATTTAGGAACTCAAAGTGAAGGGAATCTTATTTATGGATGTCGTACAGCGGTTAAGGATAGTTCGATCCACGTGCGTCGGCCTGCACAGAGCGGGGCTGCACTTAATAGTTCCGTAAGTATCATTAGTAGCCACCTGTCCACTAACTATGGCAGTGTATAGTCACTTGAGTAAAATAACTAAGCCGGTAAGATTTGCTTACGGCTGTGGTTAATACAGAGTTCAACGGGCGAATGTGCATGTTACAATGCAGACGTTTGAATTTTTTTCCAACTCCATGAAGTTCAGCTTGTTTTTTTCCTACAAATACATCACTACCGTCGTAATACCGTTATCGCCGTCTTACCTGGCAATGTCTTACCTGTATCTGCTCAGTAAAGCACGGATATCTTTTAACCCTATATAAGCGTCATATAATAAAAAAACTACAATGCAGCCATCAGTATCGAATGGAAGGTATTCCTATACGGGAGAAGTAACAGCGGATAGCGCTAGACGCGACTTATTGCAAATGTATTAAAGATAAACGAACATGGCCTAATCTTTCAGCTACATGTATGTACTGCAATATGTCGATACGTCCAAGAAATAATAATTACTACGCATATTTAGTAAGTGCTTGATGGAGACGCCTTAGCAGGGTTCAACTCGAGATATTGGTGACAAAGGTCATAGGTCTATACTGTTATATAAAATATTAAATGAATAGGATGTTTATACCGTGAACATGTTTAGGCAATTATAATACTGATGCTACCTTTAACTATAAATGTGCTGTTATGATACAAACTTTAAAACCACAAGTAACTGCTACAAGCATGACAACTAGGTAGAATCTCCAACTTCCTTTGCTAGAATGTTCGTACTCCCATATATATTGACTGCGAAGACTGTACTTCACATTTATATAGATAAGTATGTATGTGATAAGTTTCGATACAAATTGACAGAGAGCTCTGAAAGCTCTATTCAATCTAATTCAATGTTTATATCAACATCACGCAATGATGTGCCAGTATTCGTTTGTTGATAGGCCACAGTACGAAAAGCCTTTTGCTATATATATATATATATATATATATATATGTATTTCACGTATAGCATATATTTACGTATATATTTAAGCTGCTGTACGCGAAACAAGTACCCATTGCTAGATATATCTACATCTATTGAAAGAGAGAGAAGGTGTGCGCACTTTTTTGAGCACGTCTAAGGCACCGGACTCTAGAAAGGTCATAGTGGCGATGGACTGATCCAAACAGGAGTCCTTAAATTTTTGTTCTCGGTTGTAGCCGTCAATTGAATACGGCCCCATAGACACTCATCGCTACCGATCGTAGCCATGATATGAAAACTTCGGAAGAGACGAGACGCGTTGTGATCATCATAACCAAGGGGCAAGCAAACGGCAACTGAAACATTATTTGAAATATGGAAATAGAAAGTTTCGATAAAAAGAAAAGCTGACACAGAAGACTGATCCACACGTTGAGTTCTGCATGACTGAAATTCGGACTGCTGACGAATATAGCCGAGCGAAACTGGGACAGCAGTATAAACAATTTTTGTCAGAAGTTTTGAAAAATTAATTTTAACAATTCGTATTGTGAATAATAGCTTAATAATTGTTTGCGATTTGCATGCAACGCTTGCGAACGCTTCTGGTATTGCATCTACGATCGATATCTGTGTATGATGAAGACAGAACTCATAACGTAGCGCTGCGGAACACGTGCTCCGTTAGATGATTATTTAAATAATAGAAGAAAATACGTACAGTCTCAATCCAGATTTCTCTATGCAAAAATAACTAAAACGAGATTGTTATTATGAGAAAGTCTCTCGACCAGGTGGTTAACTCACAAGCGAAAACTGCTGCGCGTGCTTGGTACTGAAGCGCATTAGGGATATAGGGCGAAATCTTATATTTTTAGCATATATCAGAGTTTATCTAGACGTATTCTATGACAGACGGGAAAATATTGTGTTAATGTTTTCTCGTCAAACTAAAGCTACGCTCAGAGACCACAGAAACCGTCAGAAACCTTGCCCAGAGGATTGGCACCTACCCCTTCGTGCAGATTGAACTTGCTTTAGATAATAACAGTAATAATAACTATTTTTATTGTGCTAATAAGAATAGGATAGTATAAGTTCTATAGCAGTAAACATATATAAGTATTTTGTAAATGTCATATTGCAATTTCGTTTTAAATAGAGAGAGCGCCACGCCCGATGTCAACAAGTATCTTCTCGTTATAGAGATTTGGCGATTTTCAATGGTCAGTGGGGATCATATATAATTTAGTTGAGTGTCTAACGAAAAGGTATCGCCTGGTAGCTTCGGGAACCGAAAGGTCATCTCTAGGCACTTGCGTCTCTTATGACGTTAGCAGCTGATAAGAAAGTTTCTCTCATCAATTCCAGGTTTTTCCCATTTTTTTGGCAATAATAAGAACGTCGTACTCTCGAAATCGTTGAGTAATAGTAGCAAGTGACCTTCACTGCCGGAAACTCCTCGTGCCTTCAGCGTCCGCTAAGACCGGACTTCTATTTATTTCATAAGTAGCACACTAAACTTTATTAGAAAAGGTCTACATTTGTACAAAATTTTGCCTGAAGTCGTCGACTTTAGCTTTATTTTAGACCTACCTCACGCAATCACTCATCAATACAATGACAACCAAGCTAAATAAGTCGAAATGAGCAAACTTTCCGCTTATATTTTTTTTTGTCTGTCTGTCTGTCTGTCTGTCATATGCGACAGACGATAATATTGCGATAAATATTCTATGACAATATAATTTATTATCTGGTTTCTATCGGCCGCGGTGTTGTTTGTTGCATGCAAAATTATCTATACGTATCGTTGTTAACGTAAACAGTCATTTTCAATTAATTTCTCTCTAGGTCGAGAAGTTTATGGCACGCTCATTTGCGCGTTCACCTATAGCTGTTGTTATCCTGCCTAGATAATATGATTGACTCTAACAGCTCCTCAGGTTGGCGATATGGTGCCAGTATCTTTCATTTTACACTATTTTAGGAGGTTTTAGTCTACGAAAGCGAGCTTAATGAAGCGCTTCAAAGCGTCTTCGAAAAAAACAAGCGCGCTTCCGCTGGAAGTGTTGGCAGTGCGACAGCCCTTTGTCACGATTGCACATCCTGCGCTTCCCTATTTGTGGCCGGGCGTTCAGCCGCTATAAACGGTGCCATCCAGGACGATGGAACAAACGGCCATTCGAGGTCACGGGATGACTCGTCATATCAACAGGAGCCGTCACCGAAAGTTAACAAGAGTCAGGCATACTACAGGTAAGCGCTGTACCCGTTACAAGCTATTCAACTAGACACTATTAACACGCTTGTTATAGTTCGAAGTCTATTAGCAAGCGACACATACTAAATAACCTATGTAAATAGACACAGTGATTTTCTTACTATCCGATCACGCCCAGTGTTGGCCATGGTAAGAACATCTGTCATTGCTTGGCATGTAAAAGTAAAATACCTGTACGAACCGACAATTCATGTCTTTGAATTTACTACATCAGAGAGTTTCAACCTCTGTAGCACATAACACACTTCGATTGAGAATCAAAAGTTCGTGATTCCGAGGATATCGAAAAAAATTAACATAAAAACGTCAATAAAAATACAGTTTCGTGTTAATTTCGACCTGCGTAGGCCAGAAGCGATGTTGATAGTGGCGGAACTCCACCAGCGGGTGTGTTTCTTGCATATAATTATAATGGCAAATGTAACTAAACTTCGATCGTTTCGGGCGGTTAACGTCCGGTCTTCCCTAACCTCTGACTGATGGGGAGATCGACAAATGCAAAGTCGAGATGAAACACCGCGCGCGTCAGTACGTTAAACATAAAACGTGGACGGAGCTTTTCATCTGCTCTCAGTACGTCGAGCATTTTTATCGTATACGGCAGAGAGGCCCTACTCGTGAAGTCTTTCGCGACAGCCAGCCTGAGGAAGAAAACGCCGATCGCGACCCCCACCACTGGCTAATGCTATTATGAGCGACTGGCGTGTCCATCACAGCATTTGTCTTAGAAAGGATGAAAGAGTGCATTAGTGTACTCTATTCGTTGGAGAGATCGAAGACAATGGAGGCAATATTGAACGACATCAGATCCGGTTTTATACTTCGAGCCGATGGCGACAACTCGTGGTCAGAGCAGCGAAGCTCTTTGGAGTGGCGTCGACAGCCGCCCCTTGACTCTCTTTACGAGACTTCGCCTGGCTCGATGCTCTGGGTCCATATAGATACAATTTCCAAGACGAATTTTCACATCATTCACTGTTCACTTCAAATGGGTACAGCTAAAATTGTGTTCCATCCTGTTCACCAATAAACACGGTTGTCGCCTATTTGTACAAGGAAAAATGAAAACATCTCTTTTCGATTAAAAACAATACAAAAGTACAATAGGGTAGACGGAATAACACGCAATTGATAGGGGGGAAAGCCATAGGGATACTGTGCGACCGTTAAGTTATGATGAAATACCTCTGAGAGCTGTTGTACAGTGGAAAAACATGTTGCGTTCGTTTGTGGGAGCACTACCTTCTCCACGACCGTCAACACGATTATCGTAAAATTGGTAACACTATTTACGGTCCGCCTCGAATGCTACTTTCTGTACTCCGAAGCGGGCGCTTGACATGTTTAGCGAGAAGAAGCAAGAATGAATTCGGTTTTTTAAGGGAAATATCACTTGGTGAGACTGAACGGCGTGCAGGAGAAACCCTAGTTAGGGTGAGCGGTAGGCCTTACTCCCTTCTTTACCTAGCCAGGCTGATCTCTTATTCGACTGTCAGCCTACATCATGGCAAAGTTTTATAGCTATTTCATTAAATTATACCAGATCGTGCGCTAGACCGAAAATATTACTTTGTTGTTTCCTTCGATGTTCGCTATAAGACTTTGCTTGCCGTTGATGCTATACTGATGATAATAACGGGCACATTTAGTTGGAAAATTAAATGTAGGACTTTTTCGAGATACCCTATAGCAAATATCTAGTCCAACATATATTGCCTGGCCGGCAGTACTTACAAGTATAAACGGTTGCCAAGGGTCGATGAAGCAAGCCCACTTGCTTAAGCTCATCGTAGGACTAAAAATATTTTCAAGTCACAATGAAATGAATAAATGCTTGGCTAATTCTTTAAAGGTGCAGGAACTCCCTCTTATAGTATTTTTGAAGAACCCAAGGCATGCATGCCACTTTAGCCTAAGATTTATTATAGGAGGACAGGTAAAGACTTTGTTACAGGTCTGCATGGAAAAAGTTATTGAGCTTTTATTTAGTATATGAGCATCATTTGGTGCGTTAGTTCAGATGTTCTTCCTCAGTTTCGCTATATATTTATCGTAGTCCGCGCTGATATTGGAAGCACAGCCGGCAGAAACAGAGGTCGCTGTGCACGTGGAATTCGTTACGTTAAGATACAAGGTCTTTCGTATTTAACGGACAACAACTTCGTGACATTTCTTAACGGCATCATTCTTCAATATTCTTTTTTACTTTAGGAGCATCAGCGGATTGACAACGCATTCGCTAACGACTCAACAAACGAATAACTTCTCCGAGTCGACGGTCTGATGCGCCACCATGATCAGTAGCTGATGTCAAGTATCGAAATCCCTTGTTCCCGTTGTAACGTCATTTCCCGTTGATCTTATCAACCGAATGATCATAATTTTGTGGTGAGGCAATTACGATATTTAGTCACTACGGAGCAACCAGCGTATCGTTCGGACACTGGCCTTGCTAAGATCTGATACTGCGAGCTGCAGCCAAGCCACAAACTCTTCGAGTTGGAAAATATCATCTCACCTTCAAGGAACACCGTTTATGCCTTTCTTGGTTGTGGGCTCGAACGCGCTGCAGTTGATTCAACGTGTACGTCGACCGCGTTTTTCGGCTCTTATAGGTTGGAATATCAATCAACCGGGAGAACTAGTGAGCAACTTCTTAACGGCGGCCGAACGTGAGGATCTGTGGCTCTCTGGTTAGAAAAGCTCGTTTTACCTGCCCATTTTTTGACGATGACGAAAACGATAATATGTGTTTCCAGCAAAAAAGAAAAACATGCAAACACAGGGAGATTAATAATAGTGCGTTTTGCGTCAACCAATGAAGTGACATTGTATAGTTGGTGAATATATTCAATTATTATATATAGTATATTTGGACTGAAATTGACTAGTGGATAAGGAGAACACTAAAGGGGACAGTCACTTACAAAACATCTTTTACTGGGATTTTTTGGTGTTTTTCTGGAATCTATTAATGACTCAAAATGAAAATGCCGTCTTTCGGCACATGAAATCATGTTAATTTCTGCAGTTTGTATAACAAAACTTTTCTGAAGTGAGTGTGGTAACTGCCGTCAGGCGGAGAAAGCAGTATTAAACATGTCTGCCCCTAAGTTCTGCTCAAAAAGTTCTACGAAGTTTAATTTAGGGTAGGAACGATAGAACTTTCCTTTACTGAGCTACATATTTAAGTTTAATTATTATTTTACCCTATACAACTGTTTTGTCTGTTACAACAAAGGAGTTTTGCTAATAACGTGACCATTGGTTCGTGACAATCGAATATTATTCAAGATGTCAACATAGTCTCAAGAGTTGATTTCAAAAATATGGTGGTAGGGTAGATAATTTCACAGGATGAATATAGCAGGTGCGCCAATACATACGCATATACAACTGTATAAGAATGGTTTAGATAGATGGAAGGATACGAGGATGCGCGAATAATGGAGCTGCTTGGCCTCATTAAAGCTTTTTCCGTCCCTGTATATATGATACCAATACAATTGTGCTGTTCCAACACATTATGATCTTGGAGACGATATGCTAAAGCTAACAAATGGTATACATCATGGAATATCGTATTGAATGGCGATTCTCTACTGGGAAAAAGGCACGATTGATAATGGTAACGAACATTTGACGATTCTGTCATAAGATGGCAACAACAAGCACATGCAGAAGCTAGCGCAACGCGCACATAGAAAAATAGCTTTTCCTACTACAGTCGGTCTCTAGTATATGGCTATGTATGAATAAAGATACATAGAAAAGATACAGAGATCAGTTTCAACATGAAGCTAAATAGTCCCTTTCGCACATTCAGAAACCATATTCAGACTACCCTCAGCTATGTATAACGGCTGTTAGGATATTACTCAATGCTACGAATAGATAAAAACAACTTATATCAACGTCCGAGGAAGGTTTGTACATGTGAAGCTGTGTATAAATAGTAAGAAATGAAATTGTAAACGTTCAATATATTTTCTATCCCCGAGAAAGCATCGCTTGAACAAAGTTGTCAATATTTTCTGTGTCGATAACTGTGGGTCATATTTGTGGGTATTTCATTAGCGCGCTTGAATGTCTCTCATGTACATATTAAAACTCGAATAAATATGACTACGAATAAATATATATATATATATCTATCAGCTCCTTAGTTTTTTGTAGATTCATCTTTAGATTCTGTAAATAGTCGATCGTTGTTTGAGCCAAGAACTAAAAGAGCAAGGCTTAGGTAGGAAAAATCAACATTTATGGGCTCTAGCTGCTCACCATGCTGAGAATGAGACCTTGTCTACCTTGTTGGTTTCCAATTAGTGGAAAATTTAGTTGATGCGTTAAAGTAGGCAGTTAACCTGGCCGTAGGTAGAAACGTCGTTGTGTAGGTATGTGTAGGTAGAAACGTACCTCAAGAGTCCTGTCATACATATTTAGCGAACGCTAATATATAATACAAACCTCTTGCCACATCTGAAAGACCTATTGCTTCGTTACACTCTCAGAAGACTAGTCTTCTCTATTACTAGGCCGATAGTGGTGCGTGTCGTCTTGGAATGTTTCAGAAGCCGGTTGGCCCAACGTAGATTTCGCTATTCCGGATTATTAAAACTATATATATATATATATATATATATATATATATATATATATATATATATATATATATTGAAGACTGAAGTACACTGGAAACTATACGTTGCAATATGTGGAGTTGTCCGAAATATAGTTTATTTTGGACATTGCATCAGAACGCCTGTGTTATCGGGACTTCGATAATTAATATCGAGTCAAGAATTATCTATCTTTTACATACTTAAAAAGAAGCTTCACTCTTAGCACTTAATTGGCGAAGATCTCCATATGTAAAGTCGATCTGTAGGCTATAAGGTTTCCGCAAAAAAGGATTTAGGTAAAATCGATTTACAGCATAATAACGTTATAATGTTAATGACTAATAACGTTAACCATTTCCCGCTCCAGAACAACTTGTAGACCTAAACTGTTTTATAGGCCATCAGCACATAATAATTAAATGGCAGCAAATAGCACATATTGAAATGGATTAAGACGTTTTTCAGGGAATAGAAGCTAACCTTCTACGCCAGCAGGCGCAGTATATAGTAGTGACGAGAACAGGTATAGGCTATGCGAGTTAATCCAGGTGTTGCAAACATATATTGAAGCATAGGTTAACAAGCTTAAAATATACACGTCGTTAGGTTCAATTTAGTGTTGTCCGCTCATACCCAACTCAGCAATAGGCAGTCTGCTAAGACTGAGGTAAATATTTGATCTTATGAACTTGCATAGTTATGGCTAAGGACAGTTTTTATTTGAACCGCTCGTTTATGGGGCGGTGGCTAGTTTATCTAATAAAAAACGTAAAAAGATGAAGACACTTTACTAGATTCAGCCAATAGATATTAGCTATGTTAGTAAGTATTTTATCCAAGCATTAAAACAGCAAAATTACTATCTCAATAGGATGATGCTGATCTGCCTAGCATTCAGCGGTACCATGAAGAACTGTTAACAGACAGTAAAGACGTTTTTAGAAAAATTAGGGAGCTACTGTACCTGCTTGAGAGCTACGGCCGACTTCACTTAACAAACGACGTCAGACATCATATCCTTCAAGCGCGGATGAGCTCAGGGTGGAGATAGTAGCGCGTAATCCGTAGCAGAGACACAAGTGGCTCTTAGACCACTCTGGATCAAGGTAGCGTTCGGGGCTACAGAATGGTCTGACCTCGACGTACGACATCCCTATGACCTTCGGGCTTTAGTAGTAACAGAAAATGACTCAGGAACGAAAGGGTCAGAGCAGAAATGCTCTATCAGTCTAAAGGGCTTAAGGCAAGTGCAGCAGTAGGCCGGCCCCATTGTCGAGAAATACAAGAAACTAAGAGTTGTGATGACAGTTCACATAATGCAAAATGCCTTTTTGCATAAAACCAGAAACAAAATCTCCCTCTTTGTTAGCGGCTGTTTAAGTGGGTACTTTGCAGCCCGATCTTTCTTCTTCTCTGGCAAATACAGAAAATCACGATCATCTCGGAAAGATCGTGAACGTGCTGGTGCATCATAAACTATTACACATAGCGGTCCCACTTAACAAAAGTAATCGCGTATTTTCGGGTAAGCCACCATGTTTTAAAGTACCTTCGAATTATCGATAAAACAATCTATTTCGTAACGGCTCAACAGCTTATAACGTGCCTAAACTCGGTACGATGTTACATTCACAAGATCCTGCGGCGCCGTTTCGATCAGCATGAAGCGATATTGCCGAGTGGATTTTAACCTCTTTTTTTTACAAGCACTCGAGGGACGGGATAGCCTCTATTGATATGACCTAGTAAGTTAAGAATTTGGGAATTAAGACAATTTCTATGGCTATTGAGGAAAGTGGGGTTGCCAGTTGCCAGGGGCAATAAATTTCTGCAGGACGTATTACGAACCGCACGGCTGTCTACCAAAGCCCATCACAAGGTGACCTGCACCTAGAATGAATTGGAGGAGGTAAGTGAATTTCTGTCTCGTGTTGCCTGCATGTTAGAAAATCGGCCATGGACGGTTTCGGTACGGCGACCAAGCGTCTACAATGAAAAGGTATCACAACTATGGACTTTTGGAGCGCGTTCTCAACAAATACAAGAGGGAGGGGCTACAACTGCAACGGAGCTATCCTGTAAACCGTACCTTATACACCCAAGAACAGGTAACAAATAAGTGTCCCCTTGCCGCATTTTTCTTCACAAAGCCAAAGCTAAAAAGCGCCTGACTTCAAATAAGGTTTAGTAAAGCTAATAAATTGTATGTGGCTGAATTTTTGTTAAATTTTCGCTTTTTATAATAATAGAGTATTTGTCTGAAATGTCACATACGGGCGAAAAAAAAGTAATGAGCACAGCTTTGCTTGGGAAGCTCAGTCTTTGTTACTTAAGGACTGAAGGAAGAGTAGATTAAAATAGAAAGGATAAGAGAGGACTAATAGAAAGTACTTACAAATTCTATTTTGTTCCACTAATAGGCTTTGTTTACGAGTAAAGTTTAAGAAGACTGCGTTACTGAGTCCTGGATAAGTCGCCGTAGCTCTAAAGGAGGCTAATAGTGGCTCCTTTAACAGTCCACGTTAGCTCCCACTATTGATCCTTAAACATGCGTTTCGATCGCTGCTTAAATCGAAATTATTTTCCATGGCGCTCTGGATCTGTAGCTCACCTTTGGATACAATAACATACGTAAGCTTTTACTGCAGTAAGGAACACACGCGGTACGATGTGATCCAGTAGAGAAGGGACCAATCTAAATCATGTCACTAAACAGCGTCCTATCATTCGGCAGAACGACCTGTCGTGCTACCTCCTGTGTGGTATCCACGTAACAGATCTGACCCCTTAATTCATTTTCTCTCGAGGTGTGACTGACTTCTGGTAGTTCTCTAACTATCGTTGCTCAACTCGAGGACTACTCTGCAGGTAGCGTGCCTTTACTGACTGCAGTTCATTCGGGTTTTTCAAAATGGCACATTTCTGTAACGTAATTCAAGCTACATACATTTTTTTAATAGAGATAAATTCTACTGTATTTACAAAGTTAGCTAGCATGAACAATTTAATTATTTATTTGAAACATTTCTGAAATCTCTTGCGGATTAGCCTGCCTGGCTCTTAGTGAACAACCATACTACCTAACCACAACGTCGAAGCTCATTAAATTTGCTGAAATGAGCAAATTATAAGAAGATTATGAACGGTCCAATATAAATGCACTTACTGATTTGCGGCCTCGTAAATTCATAACACTATAATTATAATTAATTTACAAAAAAAATACACCCTTTTATAACATACACGTATATTATATCAACATTGGATAAATATATTGTATTTTATGAGTCATCTAGTTCACTCATTAATAGGAGTCTATATATATATATATATAATAACCTTTAAGGTTTTGGATTTTCATCTCGGAGACATTGTGGTGGCTAATTGAAATGTTTCAACATGTTTCAATGGATGTAGCAGTTACGTAGATAACTAATATGTGAACCATTTGTGTTACACTTTTTTGCACATGTTACTCGATTAAGTTATATGATGCGCTGTTACTTCAACTAGTAATCACTGACCAGTTGCGTAAAATGCAAATTCATTGCCTAATAAATGATAAACCAGCACACTTTTATTGTGCACCCTGCACTCGCTCGTACTTCGTCAACGGTGACGATATACCAACGACCATCGTAGTTTTTGCTTAGCTATCCATACAACTCTTACTGGTAGTTTCCTCATAAATGATTAAGGTACGAGCAGTGATAGGGCTTTGTTGTTGGGCGTTTGTCATTTTCTGCCATTTGGCATATCATTGTCATTGTTCTATGTGTAATAGTATATAATCGATTTGCAATTTTGTTGGTCGGTCTTGATATTTCATTTATTAATTATTGTTTGTTACTGTTGTTGGTATAAAAATACTTGTATAATGTTAGCTTAATTATATAACTCTAGAATATTGGCACGGGACGCTCCGTGAGTGCTGGACCCTTTTGAATGCTAGAAACGAATGATAGAAAAAAAAAGAAAAGTTTAGAAACAAAAAAATTACGTTCAAGTGAACTGAAAGGACGGGACTGAAACGATGCTACCAAATATATACACGTAAGTTCCTGTAGTCATTGAGGTCTGTAGTGAAGTCGAGATGTGTAGACAAAAGATGTCCATCTGAAGAGAGTACGCGAACACGAGGGGAAGGCCTCCAGTGTGTAGTCTCTGTTGCTGCTCTAAGTACTTGTTGCTATCAGATGCGTGTACGGTTGTCACGATAGTCATTATACGTAGTGGGAGCCCTGTTATCGGACTAGTTTTATAATTTATTTGAACGGGTCCAGCCTCAGAAGGTAATCTTGCTTTAGTGAAAATTCTTACTTGTTCGAAACATGATGGAACGGGCAAGAGACGATGGCCAGCAAGCGACATCTGTCGGTCGGCATCGGAAGCGACCGATTTTCATTTTTGTCTGTAGCTAACGGCAACATGTAACCTTAAATCTGAACTGCTTCGTTATTAAGTGAAGCATCAGCCTACTATTACGTATAAGCTTTTCACTAAGGTCGTGCTTCCAGGCAGTCGTCTGTTTGTTCCGTGTTGGGGACACGATATGGATAATACACAACATATATCTTCTGCCCCCATCAGATCAGTCGGTGAGTTCGGTCGCCGATTTCTCTACAACTGGGATAACTTCGTTCCGCTCTGACTCTAGTCTATCTGTCAATGATAATATCTATTTGCTGTCGACAGAGGCAGATAAGGAAGAAAACACCCAAGGCTATGGTTCACAAGACCACCACAGTGCTCGAGGCGGTTGGTGAGACCCGCCACGCCTTGACCTTCTTAAGCGCCCGGGAACTTTCATTGAAGTATGGTCATCTCGAAGTCAAAATAACGCACTATTTTCGTTTACTTATAGAGATATTGATAGGAAAGTTACGCAGCGTGAGATATGTTTACAAAAAAACGATCGCTCTGTGTTGTTCACAACATACTTGCTGGGAATATATACAGAATATCAACTTCCTTCAAATTTTAGTACGGCCTAAGTGAAGTGTACACAACAATAAATTTGTCCTGCTGTTCTGGCACATCCTAAAGGGCGTTATTTAAAAACGAAAACGCAAAACTCTGGAATATCCTCCAGAAGCTCCAGAATGGTCTGTTCTCTCCCATATTCGTTGTAATTTTTTTCCAATGTGATGTCTTTCACCGTTTTCGCCTACGAGTTTTTACGGAAAACACAGCTGCTTTGGTGCTGTCTACTGCCATAATCGTTTTATATTATTATCTATTATATGTCTATAGTAAAATAGCAATTTAACAGTAATTTGGGCGTCATTTATTGCGTTCATTTCTACATTCAATCAACGATGCACCGCCATTTACCCACATCGTTTATGGCGCCTCCCTGGCAGTTGGGCACTGTGGTCTTTATCTGGATTTCATCCCTCTCGATAGTTTTTCCTTCCAATTTACTTTTTGTTTTTTGTCCGGCATACTGTGTACTTGGTCCTCCGAACTGCTCGATCCGTCTCGAATGATTGCCAGGAACATAAGTGACATCTAATAAATTAGCGCTTGGTTTCTCCGAAGGAAACGTGATCTTTTGCTTTCAGGTATCAGTTCGTTCTATAAGCTACCGCCGTGATGCTGTTGAGAGTAATCAAAGCAATGGTTATTGAATTTGCCCTTTTCCATCTATGCGAATATGCTCTGCTACCTTCACAGAGAGGCCTGTTGTTCACTACGGATTCGAGTATCCAGTTGAATCAGCTGATGCAGGAACCCGTTATTCGGCCGTACGACGCGACGCTCCCGTACGGTGGTCAAAGCTTGTTCAACGGTCATGTTTCGACGTAGCATTAGGAAGCCAATTGTTAGCGTCGCCGAGCGGGACATGCCCATTAAGCAGTGCACAAGGACCTTTCCTGTAATAATATGCAAGCAACGTGTTACCAAGCCTACTTTTAAGCTTACTTCTGTTACAAAGGAAATTGGACGCGACATACATTAGCTATTATCTCAGCCGTCATGGTGTGAATATTGATATTAAATAGCCAAAGTTTGCACAGTGTGAGGTAAGGGATGGAAAGGAACGTATATTAGATCAGAATCGATAACGTAGACAGAATGATGCCGGTTTTTTTCGCTTAACGTAAATGAAGATGTGTTACAAATCGAACGAAAGAATCAAGCGAAATTAATACGATAATATTCAAGGACTTAGACTTGTGCAGTTTATTTCAAAATATGCTAGCGCTTTCTAGAAAATGTTTCAAAAGCGGTGGGGTATTTTTTTAAATGTAAACATCTTTAACTTGTAGCAAAGATGAATCTAACTTACAATGTTTAAATTTGACAATGCTAATATAGAACGAATTGTCATTAGAAAACGTAATATCAATTATGTAGCTGGATTAAACGTAATCACCATTAAAAACACTTTTGCGTCTAGGGACAGTTTTATGGTGGTTTTAAGAGCAGACGTTAACCGACGTTCGTCAGTTGTCAGGAGGCTGACATTTAACAGTCAATCGTTTAAGTAGAATCGAACACAGCGGGCGAAAGCACAGCTAAGATTTCTTACCCCCAGAACCTTTCATGAACGAAACTGAGTAACCCCTTAAACGAGACAACATCAGCGGCGCTAGCGGGTTGTTCATAGACAAGCCTTGCGCAATAAAGGCAACACGACTGAGTATCCATTAATTTCATGTACACAGTTAATAAAAACCATTACTGCTGATAAAATCCGAGTAGCCTAAGACGCCAGTGGATATAATAATTATAGTGAAAGTTGTACCTGACAAACATTTATCAAAAGTTCAGCGTTCCTTGTCTGTTAAAGCTATTCATAGCTTTGACCTGCGAAGTAAAAACAGAATAAAGATAAAACTCCTACGGATGAAAGGCAAGGACATTTTCAACGGAATAAATTCCGAAAAAAAATCGTCGTGTCCGAGCCGCTTACCAATGGGGTACGTTTTCACTTCAGTTTAAAATACTGAAATAAAGCGCTCCACCCAGGTATGCGGGACACCCATGTGTCCCACAAGATTTCGGTCGCTTACCTCTCAGCATTGATATTTCAGGTAGAGGTTTAGCTCGTGAGGCGATGCGACAACTTCGAATACATCGGTCAAGCTTGACAAAAGTGGAAAAAGGACATCGTTTTCTGCAGTGCTAACAATCTGGAAGCCGTACTCTCAGACCAGAAAACGACTTCTCACGAATCACACATCTTAGGTGGGGATGTTAATTTTCAATATATCCGACTATCGAGAAATGCCGTTGGTAAAATTATTTGTTGGTAATTCTCAATATACTCCCTAAAAGATTTTTCCCTGTTATTGATATTATGCCATTCTTTCCGTCGTTTCTTATAGTCATCTTCTTTCTCACTCAAAATCTCTTTACCATTGTTCTGTAGTGCGGAATCGATAAACTCTGACGCAGGCTCAAACTGTGAAATCATATCAGTGTGGGCGACGTCTTCGAGTACCAAGCCCTTATACCGTAACCCGTGCGGCCTATAAAACTCCTCGGATGTTGACACCTGTAGGTATAGTTGGTAATGTCGAAAATGACAGTATAGATATTATTCAGTTAGTTGAATAAATGCAGCTAATGTGAGCTTTTACATGCGCATTTCACGTAATACATAGGCCCTCTACGCCCTTAGATACAAATTCAGTCGTTAGATACATATGCTACATTGGCATGTCATACGACATCAAAATCATGTACTGCTTTGTTATGATGCATATCATAATTATATACTATTACGTACTATCCACAATTGTCTCAATGATATAGGAGCAGCTTGATTAGGATTTTTCCATTATATTTACCAGTTTCAGAACGCTTTTCAATACAAATTAAAATTTATCTATTTTTTTTTTCATTAAAACTGAGATTTAAAGATTGGTACAAAACAATGACAAGGATAAAAGATGTCAAAAGGGCGGTTGTCATGGTTACAGTAATCTCAAAATGAGACAAATTTAATCTGCGTTGTAGCTAATTACCCTACTACAGCTGTAGGCTCACCTGTCCAAAACCGAAGCCTTCGGCCGCGTTAAGGACATGGGTTACTCCTAGATATTTGAGGTACTCGACATTTCGAGCCGCCCCTCTGAAAAACACATACACACATTATCACAAATTACACTTAGCGCAGTGTATATGTATCAGGTCCTAACAACAATTAGTACCAACTATAAATGCGAGATACAGTCATTGGTACCGTCTGTGTACGTGTGTGTGTGTATCTATGTCCAGCAAAAGCCTAAAACGTGTTATGAGCTAACGTTTACTATGGTACTCACTCGTCTCCGATGAATACGCCCGTATAGACCTCGTCAAGATCCACACCGAATAAGTATCGGTCCCTGCCATCAGCCTTGGCAGCGATTCCTGTTAACTTTTCCAGGAATTCGATACCCGCCAAGCGAGTTGAAGGAGGTTTTACCTCGTTGAGGATTTGTTGCAAAGCCCTCATCCTGATAAATGATGAAAGGGGAACATTATAAACAAGCCCACCGTGAAAATCATTAATGAATCAAGGTGACCACGTATACGATGTACATGATGACCAATATTTTTATGTCTTCTATATGTATATACATATAGACACTTGCTAAGAACCCGTTTATATTTTTTTCATATTTTTGTAATAAAAAACAAATAGCATAACGATTCTCATGATCTTATTTTAATGGCAAGGAGTTGATCAGGTAAAGATCATATATATATATATATATATATATATATATATATATATATATATACGAATAATGATGCTGCGTCTACACAGGGCGTCCTAAAAATATATACATGGATTGAATGAATGTGCCATCCGTTTTTTTTTCGCATAGAAATTATATTCAGTTGCAAAAGAATTTACACGAAAAGTATAATTCTTCTTCCTGCCGCAGACGCTCATAACTATTGCCATTTTAGTTAACACACAACTGATAACGGTAGACTATTCATTCATAAACTTCAGAAAACTCTCAAATCTCCCAGTATCGGTTTTCTAGCGTAGACTTTATTTACAAGGAGTTCTTAGAAGAAAAACGTTGTCGGGGATAGGTCTGAGAAACCGACAAGGCATTCAGGACCTCTTCGTCCAACTTATTGAAATACGCTTTTACGTTACGTGGTAATGTATCAGCGTTCTGTCCTGTTGGAAAAAAATCTTCATTACAACCCTGTCGGATACGTAGTGGGACAACTTTTCTTGCAATAAATTCAAACAATTAAATTGTACTGTTAGAAAGGTAGTTTCAATTAAAATGCATACGTTTTTGGAACATCCTGTATACATATATAGCAGTCTGGTTTGGAATTAATGCTCCGGCTTTCAAGATACTTCGAGTGAAAATCAATTATATTTACTCTAGAAGAAATTAGTTCAACAAAAGCAGCCTTCAATGACCAAGTTTTTGTTCCTCGAAGTCCATAGCGGCGCGGAAACTGGTACAAACACAACAAGAAAATTTTCAAGCAAAGCACGATGCGTCAACGTTACAAAAACGGAAGTTAGAATGTTAAAAATCAGCGAGGAGATGACGAGGTGTCGGGACCCGACTGACCAGACTGGCCTTTTTGCAATTGAAAATTTCACGAAAGCACAACTCCTAAAAAGCCCAAAGACTCTGGCGGCCAAAACTGGCATTTCAGATGACACATTACTTGGATACCTGAATATTCAAAAAGCGAGTAAAAAAATAGATCCCCCGTTAATAGGCTCCGAGCCAGTTGGAAATATATGTGACCTATTCCGCGTGCAATCTGGAAAATTTAATCAATAAAAACTGACTTGACTTGGTGCATCGACGAACTACTGCTCAAGGAGAAACTGGGCGAGTGAATGACGTTGTCTTGGACAGAAATCAAGTTCAATGTCATGTCGAATGGGTTCGGACGGTGGATTTGCATCAAGGTGCTGATTATAATGTTTTGAAGTACTATGAATGCGGCCGGTTATCTCGAGGTCCCAAAGAGCTCTGTCCTGGACCGTAAACATGACAACCTAAGATAGGCAATTTGGTTACCCGACGGCAATGTGAGACCCTATCGCCATGTTTCAACTACTCTCTCGATTGAGCAAGTATGTTTTAAGTAAACATTTAGTAGTAAATATTTAACGTTAGCTTGATCCCGCTTATTTCCCAATCCAAGTCCGTGAAATTACAGAACTTTCCGTGGCTGAAAAAGCAACTAGTACCTAAGCATGTTCCACAATCAATTCGCTCTGAGAAGATATATGTATTAACCTGAATGGCACATATATGGCTGTCCAGAGACTGCCACAGCGTCGCAATACGTGTGTAAAAAAATAACGAAGGATATTGCTAACGCATATTAAAAATCACCATTCTATCTCTAACAGTTCAAAAGCTCTTCAGCTTCAATATCCGCCAGATTCGCTGGCAACAGCCGAATAAAAATTAAAGTAAAATCCTTGTCGTAAATAAAATCGAATCTAAATAGGTGGCTCCTATGGTAACAAAAAAAAAATCATGCAGGGACATCTTACAGTTTTTTTTCAGGCAGAAGGACTGAGATTTAGCGTAAGCGAGGTGTGATCACGAAAGCTGCAAAGACAGCCTAAATTTAATCAATGATAAATTTACATTTAGCAACAAAGCGAAAAAAAATACACTTCGCTAAATTTATGAACAATGAAGTACGAGATCTTTGTCTATTTCTTGTCAAAAAACAGTACTGAGGTATAGTGCTTAGATACTTAATTTATCGACATCAGGTTGCAATCCAGTACTTCAGTGAGAGCAATTTATGGACTGCAAAAGTAAGCCAACGGATAGTTCGTTCCTCGCCTTACGATTGGTAATTAGAACTATTATATGTAATTTCAAGTTGATCTCCACCGTTTTATGACTAAAATGGTCTTTGAAATCGTTTGGGTTCTACGCATTATTCAGATTGTCAAACAGTTAACGAGAGAACGAACACTCTTTAATATACATCCCGAGTTGCTACTTGTTGCATGAATATAGCTCGTGTCACAGCTGTTGTCGCTGGAAGTTCCCAGCTTTCGAAAGCACAAAAACGGAGCTAATAAACGTATCCGAGTTCAGTGATAGATTTATCTCTGCTTATAAACCAGATCCTTTCACCAAGTTTTCTTGTACATTTTTATGTCGAAACTAAAAAAAAAGCCCTCTGTTCGTAAATCTCAGAAATCCCCTGAAATACTCTATCAACGGCGGGTTTTCGGGTCCACGAGGTAAATTTAGCAGATTTTAATATATGCCATTTCGTACTTTTCCCGCTATATATGAACACAATACGAATCCATCTAAGTCAACGGCATCGACGGGTACGCTGTGCAGATTTTGTAAGGTTTTGGATTGAAAGCTTACTCTAGTCGGTGATAGCTGTTCGACATTTCTAAACGTGTTATTTAACATTAAAGTGATGATCAGTTACAAGTTAGCAATGTTCAAAGTTGTATTTTTATATTATCGAGCTATTGTATTCTGCATTTTGGTGATCCGTATCACAACTAGTCAGCGGCATTAGTTTTACACCCGTACAAAGTAGTCCTTTGCAATTAGGGGGGTACAGTCTTTACTTAAAAATCATACTTTAGGCAGAGTCACCAGCTATTCACATAGAAAAATTACGACGACAAGTTTTCTTCTTTGACGATAATCGTGACAAAACATTGACAGCTTAACGATCGTGAGAGCTCTCATAAATGGTATAGATGTGTACGTGTTGATCAATATTAAATAGATGATATAAACTCGCTTATTTACTTGATACAGTTAATATTTCAATGAACGTTATGATTCTTACGTGAAACGTCAAGAGAATTGAGAAGGCACAATGTTCGCCGACTCAGATAGGCCCAGTTCGACACGGCGTTAACCAAATCAACAACGGGAACTGTGTTACGTCACGCGTGTCTCACGAAGTTACAGCCGAAGCTAGTAATCTCATGTAGCTCCTCGAACAGTTTCTAAATTGTCCTTAGCAGTTACGTTAATTACGTTTGACCAAATGAAGGTGTACATAGAAACCCACGGACGTTAATAGCAACTTCACAGCAGATCATTTATGCGACAACTTGTACCATTGCCGGTAATTACGATAGTGAAGTTATCATTACATAATCAGTCAAACACAGTGGTCTCATGGTTGCTCTCTACGTACACCCTTCGTATATGAACAAGTAACACGAAAATATTCTGTCCCTAAGTCTGCGGTAAACTTTCATGTTCTTACTACTCAGCGTCGACTAAGAAAGTGCCTCCTTAAAACTGTAAAGCCATTCTCCAACCTCATATATAAACGCAATAACACAACAAATCCGCAATCGTTTATAACAAAATCGCGTGGAACTTGAACTTTCAGTCCGAAGAAGCAACTCGAACGCTGTATCTGTCAGACTATATCGAGTTTACTACCTATACGATAATATAGCGAACCTGCTCCATTAGAGCTGGTTTGCTCTCGAGGTAACCTACCGTTTTTATTTCGCCACCGTCTCTAATACTAAGCATGATAACAAATCAATAAACTGATGTGCCTACCTATCACTGAAGTGAGAAAAAGGCATGACAACCAGTTACGTTGGTTAGGGCCAGGTGATGAGATACGTAGTGTATTCAGGCATGTCCTTCATTTTCCACCGTAAGCAAATGAACAATGAAATGATGAGGGTCTTATGTGATACATAGAAGTGAGGAATACGAAGCGATGGTATATAGGACAGAGAGAGAGCGAAAAGGATGAACTGAAAAAGGGTAAGGGGCGAGGATTAAGAAGATTGCTTCGATAGGGCTCTGGAGAGCTCCTTGGACGTACTTGGGACAGACGGCTGTGTCAACGGTCTCGCGGAACCACATGTAGACGGGTACGAAGACATTGTACAGCAGCCAGGTGTGCTTAACCGACTTCCACACACGATCCCAGATAACCCCCATTACCCCCCGTGAGGCTCGCGACTCTGCGCCGCCGCCGCCGCTGCCGCCACCCGATACCGGAGGAGAGCTGATGTTGGACTGCGAGTATGGGCTACTGACCGCTCAGCCAGCAGCCACAATTATTTCAGCTGAATGAGCAAATTTTGATTTTGCCAATGAAACTTGTTGGCCCGTTGTTTCTTCGACCGGGAAGTTTACAAAGAGGAGCCAGCGTCAGATCAGCGAGAGGACAGCGGCTAAAACGTTTAGCTTATAACAAGCTGATAACACAACCATGAAACGTGAACTCGTTCCATTCGGCTTCTGAGGCGTCAGGGCAATAGAAGTACCCGGTATTTTCTTGTCGCTGTACTTCTGATTGTTGTTTATCATTTACTAGTAGCAGGGTCCTGGCGTCAACAACCACACTTGTGAGTTTAATTAGAGCGTGAGGGACTCAATAAGTCCGCACATTTGCTTGTTGATCTCAGAGTACATTATATATGTTTGTATGTGTTGTTATATTATGCATATACATATATATATATATATAACTATGTATATGTACGTATATATATACTATATATAGTTTTCGTGACGGTTTTTCTTTTTGCTCTTCGTTAGAGAATAGACGGCGTTTGACGATATCTGTGAATGCAGCTAGTACAGGATGTGGCTATGTGGGAAGAACTGTGTAATTGGACGGAGGCGATCGTATATATTTATGTTATTGTCGTACAGAAAGCCCGTGTGAGGGAAGCCATCTGCGCCGAAATACACGTAGTAAATTTTTTACACGATGCCAAAGGCTTTGCGTTGTCAGTAAAGCGGTCCTGTTTCCCCTCGCACTTGTGATAACAACGATGTACATAGGAGGTAAAATCACCAATGAATGTTTAGTGTGCTTAAACAATCGCAACGTACCTGCAATCGGAAGTTCACAGTTTGTCTATTCCAATAGGTCATTATATATATATATATATATATTCTGTTTTTGGTGCTGTCAGTATTGACTTATAATTGGGATTGAATTTAGAAATCGAGTGAATAAAATCAGTTTATTTGTCAGAAAGCAGCTCGACTCACTTGCTATATCTCAGCCTATGTGTATCAATGTTCACTTGGCTGGTGGCCACTAGTCTTGGCTTGGTCTGTATATTCCAGTGCCTTCACTCGTTGACTATACTATTTTTATTGTAATTTTTTATCTTCAATTTTTGATCTCTTTCAGTTGCGCTGTCTTTCTCCTGTCACGAAAATCAGGTAACGAGTCTCACTATGTGTCTAAAAGTCTTAAAAAAAGACACTGTCTTTTCTCACGTTTGCTTTGAAGTCTTCTCTTTTGTCGACCCGTCGTCCTTGCCTTCGTACTATGTATTAATAGTATTACGTTGGCGAGTTTGCTTATTCAACGCCTACACTTCTGCTCCACTTTAAACACTTTCGCCCTTCACGCTACCTGTGTAAAGCGCGTGATTTACGGATTTGCTGTTACACTAACCAGAAGTAATGAGTAGGGCTCACAGCTATCTGTGTAACTGTGTGATCTTCCGTTATGCTCTGTTTTTACGTTGTGTCTGTTTGCCGGTATCGGTCGGTCTTGGGTTACGTTGTGAAGCAGCAGGAGCAGACTTGATGCAGCAAAATATACCTATTCTGTTTGCATGCGGGCCCGACCGCGTCTCTGTTTCTCTCTAAGTGCGCATGTATGTATGTGTATTTGTATGTACGTGGAGACCAACGGCGGTTAATGACTTTCTGAGATACTGTTGTCTAGCAGACGATTTCAGCTGTTGACGGGCTGCGTCTCAATACAGGTAGCACAACTACCCATTTTTTGCGCGTTTTGCTATCGAGGGCCACTGTTGGGTTTTGAGTTGTCTTAAGCAGGCAACTCCCCAGGTAGCAAGAGCAGCAGCAGCAGCAGCAGTAGCAGCGGAAGCAATGGCTTGCAGCGGTGTTCGCTTGCGGCCACGCTCTTTGCTCGCGTAATCTTCACGCCGCACGATTCCTGAAATGATGACAACACCAATTTAGAAGAACAGCTAAGGGTGTAGGAGCAAGTCAACATAAAAAACAAGGCCCACAAACAGAATGAAAATCGATTAGAAAAATTCTCATGGTTGTTATTTTAGTGGATATGAAAGTTCGATCGAGTTATAGCACACTTTCTATATTTCCACCGTTCATAAGGACAGACGTATCAACCGAATCAAATGATTTTGTCTATCTATTTGGCGAAATAATTTTCTGTTCGTCGTAAGATGAATGAAACTTACAAATAATTTAATGAAGTTGCGTCAAAGAATCATATTTTGATGGATCCCCTAAAATAGTGAACACTTTTATGTGCGCGCTAAAAACCATTTGTCTTGATTATGGGCAGCCCTAACGTTAACCGGTTTACTTCGTAAGTATGAAACTGCTCTGATAAACGGGATAGTGGCCGACCGAAAGACAGCCTATCCTTGTCGACTGGTGTAATTACACATTAGACACCCACCTGCATGACTCAACCAATAGAATTAAAAATATCAAATCGTGCATGTACGTAAATTCTTGCGTGTACATGTGCATGTCCCGAATGAAGTTCGTTCGTCGTCTAGCCGACTTTGCTTCTGAAGGAAAAGAAACTGAGGTAGCCAATGATAAAAAGTAGCTCCCCAACCTAGAAGTAGCCCATCAAATCAGTGAAAAAGCGACGACAACGGCAGCCCCTTTCATTTATACTCTCGCGCTATTGGTATTTGTGTTCGTGTCGGCTCAATGCAGTATGTTACGTATACGTATTATATTACGTATTATAGGTCGCTCGTTCAATACTTTTGGTTGATTCTGAATCTCAGTACTGCCGTTGACGATTAGGTTGACGTTGTTAGATAGGTACTTAAAGTGGTCTTAGTTCGCACCTCGTTTCATGCTGGGAGCCAGCAGTACTATGTAATGCTTAACGGCAATAATGTACGTAAAGCTCAAAACGCACAAGAACTTTATGCTTGTTTGACAGACAAAAACCATCATGGATTCTGCAGTGTCACCCCGATCAGTCACTATGCTATGTAAAGCAACTTCTATGCGAATGTGTAAAGTAAAAAATATATTTTTTACTTATTACATATATATATGTATGTAACTTATTACATATATATATGTATGTAACTTATAGCCAACATACGCTACAAAACGTATCTAGATAACTTTTTATGCTAATTTAATGGACAAGAGAGAAAGCAAAGGGTGAACCGTTGCCGCTTAAGCGTGTATTTATTCATTTTTTTACTCAGTGACGCTCACCCTACACTCGTTTGGCGTTCATCGTAAACAGCTGATTCGGACGCATTGTACGAAGCTATAAATACTAATTCTTATCAAACACTAAGAGACTACTTGCGCAATTTTTCATAGCTATAATGTTTCATGTAATAACGTTTAGCCGTTTTTACAGACAACGAACAAACACTGTCGCAAACAGAGGTACGTTGTAGAAAGTTAATGTTAAGTAGTGCCAATTCGACAATGCCAAACTCGTCAGGCAAAAGAAGCCTGCGCTATCCAATTCACCTTAGATTTTGTGTCAGAGTAGATTTCAATGCTGACGTTAGAGTTTATCCAGGTTCCACGTGGTTAAGACCTTCGGCACAAACAGTAGATCGTATAGGACACCGGACCAGACAACTGATTAACTCAATGATGAATATGTTTGGAGCAGTTGAGGTTCTCTAGCGCTCAGGAACCGTTTCACTAGCTTCCCATAAATATCAGAGAAACAAACGTATGAGACTATTTCGGCAAAAGTCGTTCCGGATTATTGGTATGTAAGCGAGTTGGTCCAATTAGAAATACTCTGTCAGTTGTTTCTCTTTTTTCATAATGGATAAAGCGGTATTCGGTCACCTCAGTTCTGTGTACCTGTCATCGTCAGGTACTTTGCATATATTCTTGATAGGAAAACATTAAGTTTATAAGGTTTGTTTTTCTTGTGCAACTAAAATGTTTACAAGGGTATTAACCTATACGTAAACAAACTCTCGGCTACTACAAGTGTTTCCTTCCCCTCTGTTAATTAGCACCGTCGTATGTACATTGCTAGCGGCCCCTAACAACCAAATCCAGAATGTTATGATAGCTTGCGAGGTTATTGTTATACCAGTTGTTAACTAACCACTTCGAGTTATTAGGTGTCTAACAGGAAGCATTGAAATCGCGAGTAATTCAAAGTTCGTCTGCTTCGTACAAATATAAATAGCACAAAGGCGTCCTTTTTACACACTCTTCGTTGCCGCATCAATCAAGACCGTCATCGAGGCACTAGATTAAGTCGAGTCATCCGTCTATCTATCAGGCCGCTATGAGATTCAGCTAATTTGATGGCGCTAACTTGCCGGTATATCTTTACTAAGAACGTACATACATGCACACCTATAGAAGTTGATCGTAAGGGTCGGCGATTTTGGACCGAAGGATTACGTTACATACAGATGTACAGACAGTTCCTAATCGACGTATTATGAATATTATACAATATTATTAGTGAATTATTGCCCGTCTTACTGCCGTCTCTCTTCTCCCTGTTAGTAAGACTTCAATGAGACTCAGTTCATGAAAAGGTTTGCGTTTCTTCCGCAAAAGTCAAATTCTGTTTATCAGACAGTATGATCTTTTTCTCTCATGCAAAAGGCCTGCAAGCGTTTGTCGAAACAAACCACCCACAAGATATGTACCGAAGCGCATAGAACAATTCTAAGGGTGTAATAGAAATACTGCCAGCGAATTCAATCGAAATATTTACCCTGCGTTAGCCTGTTTGTATCAACATGACAAAGGCGTATGGGAAACGGTTGCGTGGCGACCCTAAGCGTTTCTATACAATCGTATGGCAAATATACACACACATAGAAATGCATTTTACACAGATTATCGAACATACGTGGATGATAAAAAAAAAAACAACGCGGTGGGGCGGTGGAGAAAGATAATTCAGTGTGTCATCATAAAGACAGCCAAGTAAGAAGCACTCTTCAAGTCACTAGACATCTAACTCAAAGGTAGTCATGTCAAGCATTGCGCCCCCTGACATCAACTATCACCAGATATTTAGCAGCAGAAATTTAGCTTCGTCTATTAAACTCTACAGATAAACTAGGAGGAAGTGCGCTAAAACTGCGAAATTCGTGTCCGCGAGCGGATGTATACAAGTCAATTTACTATAAGCCACAATAAAGGTACCACACCCTCACTGGATAGCAAGAAATACGTCACACGGCGTGTATAGCATGTAGCATGTTCGTTCCTTGTCAGACGAGTGGGTTTTTTGCCCTCTGTTTAGCCGTTCGCCTTCCAATCTCATCGACCGAGCTATTGCGAAGGCCTAGAAACATAGGTATGCTCAAAAGATAATTGTGCTCGATCATCGATGACGCGCCGCGTGAACTTGACATTCGTCTCCTATGGACTGTATATTTCGTTTACCTATATTGTATATAGAGGCGTCGACAACTAATCTAAAGGCCTTGTTCTTTTGCGGTGTGAACCTGGAAAAGTGGGAACCTTCTTTGACGGCCAGCGAGTGAGCCTTCTATCGTCTGAAGATTCACAGGAACCGGTCTTTGTCCTTGCCCATTTGCCCAGTCGGAGACTAAGACAATTTACTTACTTCCTAGCAATCACTATCTGCATTTGGCCAACGGCCGAAGCCTAAACGTCGATGTGAAGCAATGACCGAACACTCGCTGGTGCGCAAGAAAGAGCTTTACCTAGCGCTAGATATGACGATTATTACCGTCAGTATCATGCACCAAGCGCGGTCGTACAGTTTAAGACATGGTTAGGCTGAACAGCCGTACGCTATTGCCCTATGCTTTAATTCACATGGGAAGCAGCAACAAAAATTGGTGGAAAGAAAGTAATTACGCTAAGCGAGCAGTAAAGGGATTTCTCGTCAGAGTCCTGTCGCTATTCCGCGGAGTAGTTGTTAGCTATCGCAAGCTAGAGGAAGATGATCGTTCTTAGTGAGAAGTTTTTTTCATCAAGACAAGAGAAACGCTTCAAAACATGAGCAGGATTAAAAGCTAGTTCGACATGATGTCATTATTAGTGAACCGACGGGAAGTTTGTTACGCAGAGGGATAAGGGAGCAGCCGCCGCTAATACCATCAGTGCCAGCGTACGTAGGCAGCTGGTGAGTGCCGAGTGGGCAAGACTACGCTCATAAACTGCTCATCCCCCATGACAAATACAGAGGACACGGTTAGCGAGTGTTAACTCAATACCGGCCTACCTTGAACACTATCCGTTTTTGTTATACGTCCGCCTGACTTCTCGTGCTGCCTGATGAGACGCATTAGTCAAGATGGAGAAGATAGCTAACAATGGATCCTCCAGGGAATGCCCTCTTAGATGCCTATACTGTTTGTGTGTGCGTTTAGGAATGCATCGAATATAAGGATGCTCGTTCAGTTAATTAGAACGTTTCAAGTCGCAATCGCTGCCCGGCCATCGTCTTAATGCTAATGGATTTTCTCATTCATAATATTGGCCAATAGGGACATCCAATCCTTGAAAATATATATACGCAATCGAACATTTGGAGCTTAGGCTATGTATTAAAACACTATAGGCTTTTTTAGGTTACTTTCGAAAATGAATTCATCAGTAGACTAATAACCGAAAAAATATGCACGTGATACTGTCTGTATTTCTATTTTATTGTGAATTATTCTCACTTGGTCCACTGTCTCAGCGCTTAAACCTCCTCAGGTTCTATACGAATATGACCTAGTAAAGGTACGACGATGAACTTTGATTCCGAATAGGTTTCCTCTGATAAAATGGCTCTAGCCACTCTTAATACGTACGTACTGTATTTACTCCTGAGTGACATATGCTTCGTATAGGCCCAGGTATAGCGTCTGCTGCGTACATCTAACATCTAACGTTCTATTTGCATTCACATAGAAAACCACGTTGGATGGGCTTCAGCTGGTTAGATTTGGCGTTGGGGCCTGCACAACGACGGAACGTTGGGTGAGGAATAGTGTGCAGGTGTTATTCCCAAAACAAATGGACATAATTATAGCAAAGCATTACAACGCTTCCCACAAATGAATTAGTAGAATTCTTCTATTGAGCACATAGGTGGCCACTGTCGCGTATTCTCGTTAGTTAGGGTCTAACTTTGTGACAATCCTCAATTAGTCATGGTATGTATCTTGTACAAGAAAATCTCCCTTTCGGTAAATTAGCTGAGTGATCAAGCCATTACAAGCTTGTGCACTGACTAACTTTTGCTTTACAGGTCTCTTCCGAGGGTATATGATGCTTTCATTGGCGATATTTTCATCAACGTCGCACATAGCCCTCATGTAGTCATTACACACGTTACTCTGCCTAAATTTAATTACTGACTAGGCTTGCGTGTGCATGAGATTGGCGACGATGAAAGTTTTTCGTATTGTTCATACAAGTTACCTGCTACGATTCTTTCGGCTTTATTTTTGCGACGGTAAGCGGTGCTCTTGTGCCATAGTCCTGCTACCTCGGAAGCATTTTCCCAACAGGCACTCAACTCTGGACCTAAATAGATGTAACTGAATTATTGAACGACAGTCGTCGTTACGATTGCTCTGCTAGATTATTAATTAAATATGAATTAGCGAGTACTAAGCTTTTGGCCTCCTGTTACTCAGAGAAAAAAAGCAACGATTTGGATGTATCCAACGATTCGTATTTGCTTGGAATAATTTCGAATGATAGCTTAACTGTTTGAATGCGCCTTGATGAAATATAATATATGCGTATATCTAACATCTAACAACTAATCACTATTCGTAACATCGAACGTATTGTAAGTGCACGCGCCCGTGCCTTAACGGATCTACGAACAACGCACGCCCAAACAATGACGAGCGTCGCGTGGGTTCGTATTAATGTACCCGGTTGGTGTAGTTCTTATTAGTAGTACAGAATATGTACCCGTTGACAAACTGATGTCAGTAGGTGAAAATTGAATGCCCATCCGATACGTTTTTGCACATCCTATCAATGTATGCGACTCATAAACCTATGAATCATAGCTGTTTAAATGGTATCCTTAAATTGATCCGCTCTTACGTTTACTTGAATTCTAAAATATAACTGGTTTTGGTCAAAATTCAATATCCTTTAAGCATCCGATCTATAGATCTATGGCTACACTGTACCAGCTGATTATGTCACCAAGCATTGTTGCTTGTGCCGTCTTGACATGCATACGTTGGTAATTATTCAGCACTAGCAATTGTTATGTTCGGCTTGAAACTAATAATTTTACTTCAGGGGCGCTCTGGACAAAAAAAATTGACCTATGCGGTATTCGTGCTAAACGAGAGTAAACGTAATTATCTAGCTGCTTAATCTTATACGTAAAACGAAGGTCAGTTTTACTACCAGGATTTCTAGCTGTTAAGAGCAACGTTGTCGGGGCAAATGGAAGCTCTTCGTTCGATAATTCCCTCCTTAACAGTCTTATCCCCAGAATGAGAAGCTTCTTTGCGAGTGGTTCGGTTGTCCGGCCTGTGTCGACTTACAGCCCCTGAAATAATGGTTCGTAAAAGTATTCGCAATCTCTGATATTTCGGAGCAGCTAAACTGTATCCTGCTAAGCCCGGCCAGAAAGGATGCTAACTTAAGGAGTGCTAAGAGAGTGGTTTCGCCAAACAAAGCTACCGTAAGACACGAAGAAAACGAATGTTGTCGCATGTCGTACAGGAACAGTATAGATGCGAAATACACTGCTCGACTTCATTAGGTTATCGCCCAATTCGAGCTTGACATTGAAATTAACTCTGTCCTCAAATTTAAAGACATCGTGCCGTTTGAAGTAATCTGTCAATCAAATTCTCACTTGTAATGAACGCTATTAAGGCGTTACGTTTGAGAGCTAGATAAAAATATCTACATTATACATAAATATATTTCGAAAATTTCGAAATAAATCTTCTGTATGTGTTAGGAGAGTAATGTGATTTTTGGCATTCGTATATATTGAGTGTAGCCGCCATAAATACTGCGACTGAAGCTTCAATACGGTAAGCGGTAAGCTATTTACCAGTCATTAGCCAGAACTCTGCTTATCACCAAATAGCTTTTTTAGTCATAGTCACACCTCAAGTGATAATGGTAGGTCTAAGGTCGCTTAAGTGTTCTCAGATATTCTAGATACAACAAAATCCTAATAAATAACATTTTCGGCTGATAGAAGATCAACAGTCCCAAAAATGCATGGACTCGAAACGGTCGGAAAGTTCAAAAGTTACAAAAAAAAAATTGGAAATTATGTCAATTGCCAATTGATATTCTCGTTGTCTCTTTATACACCTTACGCCTTTGTCTCTGTATCAAAGGCGTAAGGTGTATAAAAACTAAGTTTTTTTTTTTTAAATATAAATTAATAATGATTTTCTGACCAGTCTTATCAAAGTCTTTCTCTGATATGACAGAAACCGAATACGAACTTTACAATTATGGTAGTGCTTTGTCTAGAGCTGAAAGATGGCAGTTCATTATTATAATTTCTCTCCGGTGACATTAACTCGTGCACCTTGAAAGCAATACCGAGATGATATTTTTCTTTTTATAATAACAAATTCAATTGTCGTGTATAAGTCCTACTAATAGTTACGGTTATGGTAACAATAGGAGTTAGTAGAGATGTTTCTGTGCACAAACTGTACCGTGGGACTCTGCCGCAGCGATGCACCGTTGAATACTTGCAGGAGGAGCGCACGTTCAAAGATTATGGAGTAAAGATTACGGAGTAAATGTTATATGTCCCGAGCTGCCTCTAGCAAACGTCTACTAAGAAGGATTCATGACGACGGGGAAATGTTTGAGACTGTTCGAGATGCTTTCGCTTAGCCAGCCACATTCAGCGTTTGGCTAAGGTATCCGTTACAAAATATTTGTCCTGAAGTCTCGTGAAACGAAAAAGGCGACAGTTTCCTAACGCTTCGAACCACTGTTCCGGTGAAATTACGACGGAAGATACTCAGCAGTATACAGTATGACCTATAACTGGGCTTTGAAACGAAAAGAGTCATCTCTACAAATAGTCGACAGACATCGAACAACACCAAACCCTAAGACAGTCTCTGCATTTACCTCGTATTCAGACGAAGTCTTTCTTAAAATCTTATCCTAATAAAGACCTCGTTCATGCAGTACGTTAATCTTTATACTAAGACTGTATCTGTGCTCTTTTACGAACAACTTCATGAAGCACGCAAATTCTTTTAAATTAAATAAATAGAACTGGGATTCTCAAAAATACCAAAGCTAGAAGAGGAAACCATATTTTATACATACATACGTGTTATGACGAATCTTGTTCAATTACATACAGACAGAGTCGTAAACGTTAACGACACAGATGCTGCCCCCAGAGTTTCCACATTATTTTTGCGAGGATGAATTAAATAGTTTTCTCCAGTAACGTGGGTAATGTCGGGGAAGCAGGCGACACAGGGATTGTTGATGGACGTAGCGACCCCATTTACTGCAGCACTTTGGCGGAACTCGAAACAAACTTGACAAATCTACTGGTATCTTAAAATACGGTAATTTCTATTACACACCCAGAACTCCGAATTAAAGTTAGTAGTTCGGATCTTAAATATTATTTTCCAAGTTGATCCGTTTTCCAACTTAGCGGACGACCATTACTTTTGAAACTATATTGTGCGTGCAACTTGCAATACGTACTTCGATCGAACGCATCATTAAGCAAGGCAAACGTCTATGGCCTGGAGCTGTTAATTTAGCATAGTCTAGTACAATAGAAATAAATGAATGTAGTAAATAAATTATCACTGCTTAGTCTTTTTGTGGTCCTCCTTAATTAGGGCGGGTGGCGGAGTTTGTGACACCACATCTCTAGATGGCTTATGTATAGCCGAATGGTCAAGTGAGAAAGTCCTCACGTGTTTTATATGAATTTCTCTAGCGTATGATGCATAACAGAATGACGCCATACGCACGTCAGTGAATTTACGGTAATAGACTAACACCGCGTTAATCCTGCCGATTGACAATGCCCAGAGGGGTTTATTGATGACTTAAGTTATTTTTTCAAGCACAATTGGCAAAAATTGTATAGGACTGAGAATCCTACAGCATTGGTTAGTGGAGGGGTCAGATTAATTAATTTGCATAGCCTATTGCTCTATTACCTAGTCCTACCAAATTAATAAGCGTCATTACATTTAGTTGGAGTTAGCCGTACTTTTAAAACGACGTAAGAAGGCTAAAGTGGGGGCCACGGTAGATTGCAAGTGAAATGGTGCCAGCGCCCATAGTCTATGGACGTTGAACAACTATCACTCTTTGAAATCTTAACTCTAACGGCCACTCACTGTCAACTTTAATTGAGTATGAGTAATCTATATATGTAGTTTGATAGCGTGAATTACTACCCCATAGTCGCTGCAATCGTTTTTAATTATATCGGACCAATTTAAATTGCGTTGTAATTATACGAGTAATGCTGCCTGTGTTGGCGTTTTCTGGCCGCAATCCGCTTAAGCTCTATATATCACTGTTTGGGTGCTTAATAAGCTGTCTTTTACGGCTATTGGACTATGTTTATATAGTATCCATATAGATTGTCTCAATGTGCTTTATCACCTGTATTGCATTTTTGGGTAGTGGAAAGAGATGATGACATTCAGGTTGTGAACAGGACATGTGTCAACTACCGACACCTAAAACTACCTGACTTGCAGATGAAGCTTTTAAGGCTTCAATCGCTTTGGGTTTCTGTAGTCTATACGGCATACTATTTCTCTTTTCGCTGGCATACCAAACAGATTTTAGCAGATCCCCTTTAAAGTAAGTAGTATAGCTAAAATAATCTATTAAGTTAAATATTTTTAAAGTAAATACTTTTGCAAAACTGTGCATTGTCATTCTAACATTTGGCAAAAATTTGGAAAAAGGTGTTATGGAGTTTCGCTCTGGCCGTTTACTCTATTATGTGACTTTTGTCACTTAGCCACAGCTAAAGCACAATAATTGTTCGATCTCTAATCAGATAAATCACGGGCGTGCTAATTATCAGCGTACTGGTATCCTTCTGTCGTCTAACTAATGCGCCAAGGCACTAGTACGAGATAACAAAGGTCACGTTATCGTCACGTCAAACAGACGTTATCGATCACTGGGGTAAAACATCTATTGTGTAACCTTGCCCCACAGCTAACTATGGTGAGGACGTAATGCTGCATCCTTTCGGTGTTGAGATTTGTAACAAACTTGCGTTCATATTGTTTGAAACCTGACCGCTGGTTGTCAGAAGTTTAAAGGCATGGAAAGATTGCAAACTAACCTAAATGAAGGCCACGACACTAACTTCATGGCCTCAGTGTTTCAGCCTTGGATAATTACCAGTCATACGGAATACGTCAGGATCAGCATTCTTCTAATTCAGACCCGCTTCAAACGCCGCCACCTGATACATTTGGAGCTGAAGATCGTAATAACTCTCTCTAAAAAAGAGGCTTATTGAAGAGAGGGTTACATTCATGATATTTTCGGGACTCAGCTGTTTTTACGACGTACCAGTTTTTTTTTCGTAAAGCCAAAAGTATCTTTTCGTATTGTGTCAAGGTGCACTATTACTACCGAGATTGGCTTAGATGACTTCTGGTTAAAAGGGCACTGGCGAGTATTTTAATCACATCCGAATTGCGCATCGCCGTTAGTTTGTACGTTGCGTCATCAAGCGCTAATCACCGCTTGTGATGTTATTCTATTCAATGGAATAAATAAGCAAGATACGCAATGAAAAGTTGCGCGCACCGATGTTAAAGATGTAGACCGTCAGTTCATTAAGCTCCTCTAACGATTCCTGTCCAAATAAGGTAGGGCGAGCGTCGGGAACGGGTGGTAGTTCAACATCAGTAAGCAGCGTGATGACGACATCGAGTTAGTTCGAGCGTTTGAGCCTTCCGACCTACTATTCAGCTGCTATTCTGCGGGAGTGGCCGGCCGTATATGTGCCTGAGTTTGCAGCGAGGAGTCCTGCAGAAACATGAAGAAAGTGATGCATTCAAGATGGCAGGAATAGAAGTGCTTGTTCGAAAAGAGCCCTTTAACAGCCCTGATTCTCGACACGATTAGGCAAATAGCCACGGAAGATATAAAAACGTAAAGAAAGGGAAACCTCTTAGTTTGTAGATCCGTTTGTAGGTTATTGCCTTGTTGAATTGATAGTTATTCTCCTGTTTACAAGCTAACTGGACGCAATAACAAATGCTGTCGGAGACTTTGTGTCGTCGGAAACTGCTCGCTCATTTAACACAGATGACCTATTTAGGCGTATACAAAGCAAGAGCGATAGCTAGCTAAGGATCTTCTGGTCGTTTGTTTTTTTAAGTCAGCCTTTATTCCTTTTTTATATGGCGGTTAAGTATGGATGGAAAGGATCATGACCGCTGGAACGATGCATAACCTTGTACGAAAACGGTTTTCACGATCAGGTCGTTGCCCCTCGAAAGAAATGAACATCCTATTTTTTAATGGAAAGTTATCATTCCTTGTTCGTTTTATTCTCGAGCTAATTGTAGTGGACTTGTATAGAACATTACTGTTTTTTTCCGCGGTGGCGCTATAGGATTATTAGTTGCATATTATTAAATCGTCTATTCCTTTTGGATTTCGACATGGTTGCGTACTTGCAATAAATTCAAAAAAGATTAAAAAATTTCAAAAAATTAAAAAGCAGATATTCAATGCCAATAAGTCAGTTTATCTGGCTTACAGGCATGACGTAACATTCATATATGATCCTACAAATATCTAAAATTTTTAGAAGAAGTAGTCTTGGGCCTTACGTTTAGGTTTGTTAGTCAGCGTTGCTTGAGATGGTTAGCCCACAATATGGAGTGTATTGTATCTAGTTCCGCATCCCTCCGCATATCGGAACTGCTCCTAAACCCTTAAACACACAACAATAGAGTCGTCAGAAGCGCAAATTCTTTATTCCTTCCCCAAAAAAAATACAACAAAAAAAACTCAATTTAGTATAATTTGAGGAATGACACCAAAATACCATTTAAAATTATATACAATATCTAAAAAGTGTAGTCGAGTTCATCTTCAGCTTGATCTTGTTTTTTTTTTTGTAGTGAATTACTACCCTACAGAGCTAATTAAACACAGCAAAAAATAACTAATTGTTCTAGCAAAATCATATCTAACTTCAAAACAGTGAAGAAGCAGTGTTTACTGTTTGTGTCGTAAGTCTGCACTAAGTTACGGTTTTCTCAATTGAAAGCTCTCGATAAATTTCCATATTGTTTTACATGTTTATGTTTCACTCATTGATTATTCTTAGGCCAGATAGACATCAGCTGCCTTAATAAGGGAGGCCGTTTTTTAAAAAAAAACCTGCTATTCTTCTTGGATTTACGTCGTGCAAAGCCAAGCATAATATCAGTGCTGTCGGCCATAGCTACAGTTTAGAGCTCCGCTGATCTCTGATTTGGATCACAAACGTAGTAAACCAGGTTCGAGTGTGCTAGATAATTATACATATGCCTGTCTTGAATGTATTCTATAAATAGCGAACGCTCTTAAAAAGATCATACAACTAGTCCAGTAGTAACTACATTGTGACCTATTTACATCCTATGGACCATCTTCCAAAATTTCAACACGACTTCACTTGGTAGGCAAGAAAACTTCGACTACAGCGATATTTTATTTGACGAAAATGTTCTCTTACTCGCTGAACGCGTTTGGACAATGTAACCGTATACTGATAAGCCTAATAGACAAATGACATTTATATGATGTCAGGACAATAAAGGTCGTCTGACACAAATAAAAATAAGCTTTAGGACACACCGTAAAGACTGTGATATTAGGCATATAATATGATGCATTAACTTTATTGTGGAACTACAGGCTTAATTTTTACTGAGGAAGATTCAAACAGATGCAGCCAATAGCTGCGTAAAATTACAGGAGTGGACGGTATATTGAAATGTGGTAGAACTAAGATGTTATTCATGGCGGCTTACAGCCCTCTAAGGGTTCTCTAACACAATTCAAAAGAATTAAAAAAAAAAAAGTTCAAAAGGTATTTTTATCCTTTCTCTTCCCGGAGAGAAAAATCGACCAAAAAAAAAGTACTCTTTCAGTTAAAGTCCTCTACCTCGTGGGCAAACCTCGTATCGCATCCTGTTTATTTTCCAGAGAGCAGTTTAGATAATAGCAATAGGTAACAGCTGCTTTGCTTCTGTATAATTAAGAGTGTCTATTATATACGGCAGCTAATTTTGAGATACGTAGCGTAATTGACGACGTAATATCCGGACCGACCATCACTTTAATTCATTCGTCCCATCGAATAGTAGTTAGCCACCATATAGCAACAGGTAACTTTGAATATTCTGCTTGTTTCTGTTTTTTTTGTTTGTCATGTATATTTACAGACACCAAAAAAAAAGGCGCTGTGTCAACGTGTGTGAGAAACACAAATCTAGTCCCTCTTTATTCACTGGCAAAAATAAAGTCCTTTGTGCTTCAAAAAAAAAAACCGCAAGAGGGTAATACTCTGCATGTGGAAATAAGCTCATGGTGTAGGAGAACGCTTAATTGACTTTATTGCTTACTACAACTGCATCAACGTTTTTGGTTATTCAAATAATGTTCGCTTCAAAGTAAAAGTTGGCACACAGTTTCGATAGAACGTTTTTCCAAATCGTCCCTATATTTTCTATGATATAAAACGGCGATATGTTAAATACTATAGTATTCTAAAAATTTCGGATAATGACGTGATCGTCTCAAAGACATAAACATGTAAAACTTTGTTTTCCATGTTCGATTTTGTTTACTATGCGATACATATTAAAAATGTATTTTTGCCCTATTGTGTGTTCACATATCGAAACAGAAGTTGTCTATTGATTTTCTTCTTTTGGAGTCTTGCCAGAATAAAGAATAAAGAAAAAAAAGAACCTAAAATATAATTTTTGTTTAATTTGAATAGACTGCACCACAAATAGAAATCGAGAAAAATCTTTCAATAATCTGTTCTCAGTAATAACTCAGTAACAATAGTGATAGTTCTCTTGACCAGTATGAGTCAACATGCGCTCAGTTTAACCCAATAGACTGCCTGCTGCTGTTACAGGTGCATGCTTTGTTAAAAAAAAACGTTTCAAAAAGTTGTCACGAGAATTAGTATCTGTGTATATATATATACCTATCGCCAACGGATGCGCCCAGGATTTCGGACACGCGCGTATCCGTTGGTACAGGCCACACTAGCACCTCGTCCCAAAGCACAAGGCACCTATGACATTTTCCACTTTATGAGAATAAAGTACTAATAATAATACTGCCGCTTCTTCCATCAATTCTATTATCGCAGCTACTTACACTCGAATGGCACCCCGCTACCGCAGTCACCCTGGGCCATACGAAGAGCGGCCTAAAGCAGTCGATGCTCGAGCTTTACGACGGTTCGCTGTTAGAACGAGCGAATCTCTAATGTTTGTCGCAGCCGAGGCAGTAAAGCCGTCGGCCGGCCGGCCGACTGACTGATGAGCTCGCGTTGCTTTCAGTGTCAGACACACCAACACACAATCCACTGAGCAGTACGGCATTATACACTTCGTATACATTTCCCGCATATCCTTAATCTATAGAGAGAGTAACTGCCTCTTTTCCCTGAACGAAATCTACAAAGGGGCTTCAACAGCGGCCACAGCAGCAGTATCAGTCGATCTGTGCATGCCCATCAGTTGACGTTACCTGTCCAGCCCGAAACTTGCTCACCTTGGCGAACTTCGCTGGGGGATCCGCGGTACATGCATGGAATTGCATGCGACGATATCGTCAGCAGTATCATGCAACCCGTGGCTCAACTGTTTTGCACCATGCATATGCTGAGTCCGTACGATCGTTTTGCCAACAGACGGATGAACAGCATGTTTATTTGCACGTACGCCCACTGATGCGTTATGTTAGCGAAAGTACCTTGCTTGAAGGTCTCCTCTATCTGTGTTTGATGTCTGCTAAAACTTTAGAACTTACGTTAACGAACCGTAGATACATAGCTGCCATTCAATGCAAAACTCAGCGCATCAGAATAAGCTATACGTCGATAAATCAACACTTACACGTATCATATGTAATTACATTATTGACTAGGCCAGATTCGTCGATTATTTGCCGAACGAGTTTTTATCGTTGATTGACGGGCGGTTATATGCTGAGTATCGCAAAACATGTGCGTCTGACGAAAGACACGATTTTTCCGGTCAGCTACACATTCAATTGATCATTGACTACTGTTGGCCTATCTGTTACGCAGCGAACATGTACACGTATAATGTAGCCTGTACACGTATTATTGATTAAATCAAACTAACCACAAACTCCTCACGTTATCGTCCAGCTGCCTCGTCCTGTGTCACGTCAGCGGCCTAGCAGTTATAGCAGGCCTTCAATGGCATCAAACTGTTGCTATTTACTCAACCGCTCTAGCTTCGATTATTGTGGCTCGCTCTACATGCGCATTTGTGCCTAATCACGTTATTATCAGCAAATACCAACCTCCAGTTTCTATGTCTACTTTTCTTGATTATGACATCATTTCGGTGGCCAGCGATACAGCTGGCGCCACAGTCACCGCCAGACGTCGACGTGTTTGTAGGAAGGCTGAGGGGATCAACTGAGCCAGCTCAAGGATGACTCTGAGATTCGGTAAGTGTTTTCCCTTTCGCGTTACTGCGGGATTTTTAATGCTAGCCCTACTCTCTCTGGCGTGAGATCAGGAGAGGGACATCCGTCAAAGTACATAAGTTAAAAGTTGTTCCTAATATGCCAGTTGCGACCAGCTGGTTGTCCTGTCAGCTTAACTGTTCTTGCTAGCGCCATGCCGCTTCTGGCACTGCCGTTGTCCTTATCGTTGAACCCTGTCCCAACGTCAACACGGACGAGTTTGAATCAAATAGATTGATATACAGCAGCAAACGACCGACAACAGCGATGAATAATGGCTGCTGACGCGCGATTAAGCCGCTCCTTATGACTCTTCAGTTCTGCGCCACATCGGCAGTTCTCGTCGCCCGTCAAAGCGCGTTGCTATTGTGTTGAAACTGCAGAGTGGAGGGAGTATTTTATTCCTAGCAGGCCGGTGTGTATTAATAGTTAGCACGCTGGCTTTCCTTGTGGATCAGTCCAAGTACCGCTCCTTCTATGCCATTTACTCCGACTCGCCAGATGTATGCTCTCTATCAAAGTTACAACCATTCTTTGTCGCAGTATTGCCCGTGGCTAATTAGTGGGCTGGCTAAGTCAGCTACCACTCGACGTGTGCTGTCGGCTGGCAATGCACAGCTGACGTACGCACAGGTATTGCATACACAGACCATGCACAGGCAGTTCCAAGAGGCAAATCTTTATTGTTACTTCCGCTAGGTTCAATACCGTTCGGAGTTGCTGTCAGTGCCAGAGCATCGACCTGCTCTCGGGGTCAAGAGGGCGGTAGATAAACCGGCTTCCTGCCTAGATCCACACAGCATAATTAACAATAACACCCTGAACAGCTGACTGGCCACTGAAAGAATCTCTTAGCAGTCTTGACGGCGTTTTTTTTGCAGTGTATTTGCGTTCCTTTGTAGGAATAATTTACAGTTCAACTCCTCACCATTCCGAATTAACAAAAAGATACTCGGCTGATATTTAACTAGTGCTATAGCTAAAGCTGCGGTAAATACTAGAAGGAGCTGATCATCGGGTGACTAACCGCTTCCGCTCGGTCTGCACAGCGTTAGTTTTTTTCAACAGAAACACCGCTGCTGCTGGTCACTTTGTGAACGAAGCCGCTAGTGACTGCGTGTAGACAACCCGATCAAGCAATAGTCACACACAACAACACAGAGCATGCGCCTGGCGGAAAGAGGCGACAGCCCCGACTGC